GGGCGTACGCCCTCTACGTCCCCTCTGGATCCGCCACTGGTACAGGACCTATGTATTTACTATTTTCCTACATGTAAATGCATCCATGGGTAGTTTATACACACAAGGAGGTATTATATGGCAAGACAAATATGGTCACTGTTTTGTCAGAAATCTGTAAAAGGACATTTTGGCATACCTGGCTTGCCATTAATAATTCCCAAGAAAGACAATGAAGTCAAATTTACTTCGTCAGAATGGATGGGTTGCTGTAACTATAAGGCAATAATTGAATGACGAAGGAATAACAGTTTTGTCAATGTTCGCCTCTCAAGGTCGTCCTTAAAATCGAAAAATAGATTGAAAACGACAATTATTCAGTTGCAGAATTTAAACAATAAACACGTGCACATTATTTGTAGATTTTCAAGTCATAATGGAGTAAGTTGACAAAGACCGTTTCCATGGTGAAAAAGGGATTTGTTTTTTGATTGATTACTGTCAATGGCAAATATTGTTTCCTTGGAAAGTCATACAGACAACAGAACTTTATTAATAATTTTGAACATCTCTTAATCTATATCACATACAGTGGCATTGTCTGCCATTTGTGTAGTGACAACTGCAAATTATACCTTGTCCATCGGATTTCTTATGATTAAGAAGTACCAGGCGTACATACAGTGGCATTATATATAAATCATGAACAAACAGAACAAAACTAACAAAATCTTGTGTAGTTCTTCATATTCCTGTATACAAAACACATGAGGTGTTTAAAGGAGATTCAATTTGAAGTACCTCTCTGCATATTCAATAGAAAGTACATTACAGGGTAGTTAATTAAAGTATTATCACCAAAAATTACCATTGATCAAGTTGATTCACAGTAACTCCTCATCAGCAAAATTGTTTTTTAACTAAATCTCATTGTCGCAAGGCTTGTGTGTAAGGGAGCTACCATTTGATCTTTATGGGGGGACTAGGATGAAATTTGAAAAAAAAGGCAGGACAGGAGTTTTGAGTAAAAAAAAAAGGCAGGATGAGCAACTTGGCTAAAAAAAAAGGCAGGATGACAATATATGTAAAATAAAATGCTCCGCTGGGCGCAGCTTGATACGACCGCAGAGGTCGAACCCTGAACAGTTGGGGCAAGTATAGACACAACATTCAAGCTTGATACAGCACTGAATTTGGATTGTGATTAAATATTTGACACAGCATAGGTTTCGGACACAGAATGAATGTGGTCCAAGAACTTAAAAAATTTTAATTTACCTATTCAAACCATATCATTATTATTTGCTTTTATATATAAATCAGAAATAACCAATTTAAAATGGAAAATTTTAAAGAAAAAAAAAATCCCTCCCCCAAATTTTTTGAGCCCCCTTATGATTCATCACCCCCAAACTCAATCCCAGCCTTCCCTTTGTGGTATGGTACCTTGCAGTACAATTTCAGAGAGATCCATACACTTGAACACAAGTTATTGTATGGAAACTAGAAAAATGCTTGTTTTTAGGCCCCTTTTTGGCCCCAAATTCCTAAACGTTTCGGGCAATTACCCCCCAACTCAAACCCAGCTTTCCCTTTGTGATATGGAACCTTGTAGTACAATTTCATAAAGATCCATACACTTACACACAAGTTATTGTTGTGAAACTAGAAAAATGCTTGTTTTTTGCCCCTTTTTTGGCCCCTAATTCCTAAAAATTTTGAGGCAATTACCCCAAAATCAATCCCTGCCTTCCCTTTGTGGTATGGTACCTTGTAGTACAATTTCAGAGAGGTCCATACACTTGAACACAAGTTATTGTCTAGAAACTAGAAAAATGCTTATTTTTGGCCCCTTATCCCTAAACGTTTTGGGCAATTAACCCCAAACTCAAACCCAGCTTTCCCTTTGTGATATGGAACCTTGTAGTACAATTTCATAAAGATCCATACACTTACACACAAGTTATTATCATGAAACTAGAAAAATGCTTGTTTTTTGCCCCTTTTTTGGCCCCTACTTCCTAAAATTTTGAGGCAATTACCCCCAAAATCAATCCCAGCATTTCTTCTGTGATATGGAACCTTGTGGTACAATGTCAGAGAGATCCATACACTAACACACAAGTTATGTCTGGAAAATACAAAAATGCTTATTTTTGGCCCCTTTTTGGCCCCTAATTCCTTAACTGTTGGTACCATAACCCCCAAAATCAATCCCAACCTTCCTTTTGTGGTATTGAACCTTTTGGTAAAATTTCATAGAGATCCATTAACTTAAACTAAAGTTAGAGTGCGAAAACCAATGTGTCTTCGGACGACGACGCCAACATCATACCAATATACGACCGCAAATTTTTTTTGGGGTCGTATAAAAAGTCAGGATAAACTAATAAATAAAAAGGCAGGACCTAATAGAGTGAAAAATAAAAAGGCAGGACAGAGATTACAACTAAAAAAAAATGCAGTACAAAATTTTTCATCCTAGCCCCCCCATAAAAATCAAATGGTAGCTCCCTAATGAACATGTACTGTGTGAAGGGCATAGTTTCAAAAGGATAAAAGAACAGAATTCCAATGTCCCCCGGGTTGCACATATTTTATCTATCCAAGGTACAAGGGCAAAAACTAAAAAAAACAGGTTTTTTTTGTTCTTCAAAACAATTTATAAATATTTTAGAAAAATGAAGGCTTCAGAGCAATGCGATTTCTGTTATAACTAATTTTTCCAAGGGGCATAACTTGTTAAAAATATTTGATCAGCACTTATTTTCGAAAGTGTCAAAGACATTGCTGATATCAAGGCCGTAACTAGGCATATTATTCTAGTGAGGCAAAACTGATCGCCGAGTGGAGCGAGTCGAAAAATAGAGCCGAGCGGAGCAAGGTGAAAAATTTCGGTAGGGGTCTGGGATAAATGGTGTAAAATCCTGCATTCTGGGCATTTCCCGAGAGCTTGAGAGATAGATTGAAGATGTCATGGATTGATTTCAAACCGTTTCATTGCGGACGGAGCTAAATATCAATTTTCAGCTTTAAGCCTTGAACAGGGTATATTGGGATCTACTTTGCCATTTCACCTTCAGGAATATCGGATAATCATAACTTTGTCATCTGAATTCACTGAGATATGGGGGTAACCATTATGATCATTATGTCATTTTATGTTATTTTAGGAATATTATTTTTTCTTTTTGCCACATGCTACCTTTTAATGTATGGATACGGGAAATTGGATATAACTATATCGTTTTACGTTATTCTAGGAATATTGATTTTTTAGTGTTTTAGATTTCTTTAGGAAGGGGTCCGATCCCGAAATCCTGAATTGTAAGACATGGAATCCTGTAGTCCCGATTAGAAAACACGAAATCCCGTTTCAAAGGTCCTACCGTCCATCAATAATATCAAAATTGGATTACAGGATCATTCAAATTTCATGAACGAATAAAGTTGGAGAAAACGGGGAAATGAATACTCAGACAGGACTGCTCTGGTGCGGTGCCCCAGTACTTATAGTTTCAATGAAAATATATTCAATACTGGAACTCTTTGACACTTGTTGTGATCACAAATAACATCCGTTAGTTTACCTTCAGTATCGCTTTTCCGTTTTCTGCAAGAGTCTGTTTTTTAACCAGAGATCCACGATGATTACCGGTTACTAGGTTAATGTAATTGAGAAACACCAAGCGTTGACTGAGATGCTGATTTATATCCGGGAAGAATAATTTAAAAGGAACGATGTCAAGTTATAGAAATTAAGGTTGAGACAGAAAAAACAAATGACTATATTTCGTACTTAATTACCATAAACAAATACACCAAAAAAAAAAATTTCAGTGTCAAAATTTTAGTGAGGCAATTGCCTCACTTGCCTCAATGGTAGTTACGGCCTTGGATATAAACCTATGATATAAGCTTCATAAAATTCTGGCAAGAATTTGTACACATGAGAGCGCTAACAATGCAATTTTTCATATAATCAATATTTCCAAGGGACATAACTCTTTTAAAAATAATTGATCAACACTGATTTTCAAATTTGTTTGAGACATTGATGATATAAACCTTTAATTAAATTTCATAAAAATCTGCCAAGAATTGTACACATGAGAGTGCTAACAATGCAATTTTCCATATAATCAATATTTCCAAGGGGCATAACTCTTTTGAAAATAATTAATCGGCACTGATTTTCTAACTCGTCAAAGACATTGCTGATATAAACCTATGATGTATGTTTCATAAAATTCTGGCAAGAATTGTACCCTTGAGAGCGCTAATATTGCAATTTTCCATATAATCAATATTTTCGAGGGGCATAACTCTTTTAAAAATAATTGATCGGCACTGATTTTCGAACTCTTCAAAGACATTGCTAATATAAAGCTACTATATAAGTTTCATAAAATTCTGGCAAGAATTGTACACATGAAAGCGCTAATGATGCAATTTTCCATATGTTTAATGTTTCCAAGGGGCATGACTTTTAAAAATAATTGATCTGCACTGATTTTCGAACTCATCCAAGACATTGCTGATATAAACCTATGATAAAATCTGGCAAGAACTGTACACGAGAGTGCTAACAAGACCGGAGGGACAGACGTCCTGTATTTCTATGTCCCCCGCAAAGCATTACACAGGGGACAAAAATATGAGGATCATTAAAACGAAAGACATGACTGCAAATTCATGTAGAACCAGTTAAAATATATTACTTTACAAGAGGGAGTTACAACAGATAATTAATGGTAGGAAAGTTAGCAATTGTGAACAGAAAAGTCATGTTAGTAATGGAAATGAAGACCTTATTGGGAAACTATAAGATATGGTCCAAAAAGATTTCTATTTATAGTAACGAAGAAAGTGATTCAGTCCAACATTGGCCTTTAATGGAAATTTCTATCGGAAAATAATCACTTCATTAAATATCCACGAAAATACAATTGGCCTCCAACTTGATGAAAATGTGTACCCACGAAAATAAATGAATAAACAACAATACACAACAAAGACAATAGTTCAGAGGACCTTTTATTAGGTTTAATAAACCTGCACAGTTCAGCAAGACAAAATTACTTGTCAAATCACAGTACCCTGAAGCTATATTCCTGTTATTTAACAGTTATCAATTTCACTTCATTTATCTTCTTTATTTTTGTCATCTTTTTTCAAGAAGTCTCAGTTGTTTCTTTTTCATTCTCTTGATTTTTGCTGTATTTTTTATCTGAAAGAGAATTAAAAAAAAGTATAAAAGCCTTGCAATATGTGAGTCTGAAAAAAATTAGTAACCAGAGCTCAAAATTAAGGGACCATGGGCTAAATTCCATCCCAACACCTTCAAAGCAGGGTATAAACAATATTGCATGTCAATTTAAGCAAAAATAGTACATCTTACTTTCATTAATTCATTTACCATCTGAAATATTAACAAGTGTTCTGAAAGTATTGCATGGCAATACATAGTCCCCTACCAGTTAAAAATTCATTGTACTGGAACAAAATGCTATGGTGTAAACTATATACCAATTATCAATTCAATATCTTCAAGCATGACGAAAAAAAGAGCGGAAAGTTGATTATTTGAGTGAATTTTCTAAGTCCAAGGACCATAACTCTGCACAAAATCATCAGACCGGAACAAAATTCGAACTTGATCTGTAACTTGTCATGATAAAACAAAACACAAAATATCAAATCAACATATTCAAGCATGAACAGACAGACAGACTGACGGAGTGCAAACCTAAAGTCCCCTTCGACTTCGTCGGTAGAGGACTAATAATAACAAGCATTCTGAGAGTATTGCATGGCAATACATAGTCCCCTACCGGTTAAAAATTCATTGTACTGGAACAAAATGCTAACTTGATCTCTAACTTGTCATGATGTAAACTATATAACAATATCAAGTCAATGTCTTCAAGCATGACGAAAAAAAGTGTGGAAAACTGATTATTTAAGTGAATTTTCAAAGTCCAAGGACCATAACTCTGCATAAAATCATCCGACCGGAACAAAATTTGAACTTGATCTGTAACTTGTCATGATCAAACTATATACTAATTATGAAATCAATATCTTAAAGCATGACGAAAAAAATTGCGGAAAACTTATTATTCGAGTGAATTTTCAAAGTCCAAGGACCATAACTCTGCACAAAATCATCAGAACAGAACAAAATTCGAACATGATCTGTAACTTGTCATGATAAAACAATAAACCAAATATCAAATCAATATCTTCAAGCACAAAGAAAAAAAGTGTGGAAAACTGATTTGCCGGACTGACAGACAGACAGACAGACACAGACAGACAGACAGATGGACAGAGTGCAAACCTAATAATTACTGATCAGCTGGACAATTGTAACAAAATGATTTACCGGCTGAACAATTTCTGATTTCCTCTGATTTTCCAGTCTTCTCTTTTCTTTCTCTGCTTTTCTCTGTCTTCTATCCTGTTAAAAGAAAATTATATACAAATATTTAATTCTGTTTGTATAAATATGAGAAAGCAACCAAAGGATACAAAGCATTAAGCACATTTCTGAGGGAAACTTAAAGGTAATTAAAACAGACAAGAACACAACAACACAAATTTATGCGTACGAAACATACATGAAAACTTCTAAAGGGTTCCATTAAATCCTGTGTATTGCCTGCTGCCAATGATAAGTGCAATGTTTGCTGCGAAAAAAATAGTCCATCTAACAATAAAATACTGAAAAATATCTCTTTATCATCATAAAGATGGTTAAAATTCCATAAAAGTTATTGATGTCTAAAAAAACATTAGTTTTTGTTAATTTATCAGTAATACAGGGAAATCTTTAATAAACAGAGATATGTCTCGAGTTTTGGACTTTTTGATAATGCAAATGTTGAAATTAAAATAGCAATACTTTCACATGTAAGTAATTAGTTATGCAAATATTCAAAGTCGATGAACCATGACTGAAGGTACATGGCGCTGAACAATCTCCATGGAAATGAGATGTGCCAATGTTAATACAACTGCATACCAAATACCATTGACTTATCATAAGTCGTTCCCTTTGAACAAACCTAAACACAAACATTAACTTGTAAACTATGTAAAAGTTTCAAAGTCAATGAACCATGATGAGGGGGTGGGGCTTTATAATCTCCATGGAAATAAGACTTGCAAATGCCAATAAATTTGCATACCAAATATCACTGACATAACATTAGCAGTATATCTTTTAAACTGATCTAATCACACACTAATATATATAAACTAAGCAAATGTTTCAAAGTCAATAAACCATGACTGAGGGGGCGGGGCCAAATATTCTCCCTGGAAATGAGATGTGCTAATGCTTATACAACTGAATACCAATTAACATTGGCCTACCACTAATGGTTCCCCTTGAACTGACCTAATCACAAACTAATACATGTAAACTAAGCAAAATTTTCAAAGTCAATAGACCATGACTAAGGGGCGGAGCCAAATAATCTCCATGGAAATGAGATATGCCAATGCTTATACAACTGCATACCAAATATTATTGATCTACCACTAGTTGTTCCCCATAAACTGACCTAATCACAAACTAATACATGTAAACTAAGCAAAAGTTTCAAAGTCAATAGACCATGACTGAGGGGGCAGGGCCAAATAATCTCCACGGAAATGAAATGTGCCAATGCTTATACAACTGCATACAAAATATCATTGACCTACCACTTGTGGTTCACCATAAACTGACCTAATCACAAACTAATACATTGTTGACGCCTCGTTTTCAGTCAACAAACAGGACTTGACTTAATATTGATCAGCATTACATACAAAAATTCATAGCTTGTAATTAATAGTGCTCTCTAATTCTTAGTCCAAAACTGCTCCAATATCCTTTTTGGGACTGTCTGGGACCCACGGTCCCAGCAAGTTTTATGAAGTGCATCAATGCAATCTCTGATTATCTAATTATTACCAGATTTATACATTCACATAAGTTTGCAAAAATTTAGGGTTAGGGTTACAGTCCCAGCAAGTTTTATGAAGTGAATCAAAGAAATCTCTGATTATCTAATTCTTATCAGATTTATACATTCACATAAGTTTGCAAAAGTTTATATAAACATGATAAAAGTCTATAGAAAATTAATACTTTGTTGAACATTTAAATTTGTGGTTTCACTTTACCCACAATCAATAATAGTAATTGAAAATATAACTTTTCTTCCACAGATATTTATACCAACAAAAACAGAGGAATAAGTATATAAAATTCATGGTCATATTATTCTGCTGATCATATTATTTGTACAAGCACTCACTTATGTAAGGTTGTGTAAAAGATTAAAGAACAAACCTCCTTTTCTCTGTTTTTCTCATCTTTTAAGCGTTTTTCAAAATCCTTTATTGACTTCTTCTCTGCTTTCTTTTTCATTTTATCTGACCACGAGGTCTTGAAAGATTTCACTTGTTTAATATCTGAAAATCTATTGAAAACAATTTTTATTAATATTTAAAATCTGTTTTTTTTCTTCATATCATTCAGTACCGACCATTCATCTTTTGTGAGGGAGGGGTATAGACATGTTTGATTTAACAGATATATATAAATATATACTTGTTTGATTCATAACATATTTTTTAAAAATTTGATTTGAAAGGGAAATGTCATTAGACATGTTAGAACCTCAAAGGAACCTGTAATGTATGATAGGTTTCAAGACATTTGGTAAAACAACTGTTGACACAGAGATATGTCTCACATTTTGCAATTTTGATAATAGAACATGTGTAATGCAAATGTTTAAATTAAAATGGCAATATTTAAATATGAAAACTATGTAAATCATTTGAAGTCCACGAACCATGTCAGACTTTAAGAGGGGTGCAAATGATCATGGAAATACATCTGCATACCAAATATCATTGACCTACCACTAATGGGTTTAAATTTAAATAAACATAATGATGTTGATGTTTTTATGTTCGTTGGTAAGCTTTTCCATAGAATTGCAGAACTGTATGCAAAAGATTTTTCATTATATTAGTGCTTGGCCGTATAACTACCAAATTGTTTTTAAGACGGATCTTAAATTTCTTTCATAAAATTCATAGACTGTCAGAACTCTGACATGTCTGAACACACAAACTTTTTCAGATAGTCAGGAGTTTTATTGTGTAAGATTTTATATACTAAAATTAGTTTACGATATAAAATTCTGCAACAGAAACTTCACTTATCTAATCTATCAAAAAGTTCTCTTGATGGTGTTTAGAAGGGTACAAGTCAAGTTGTCACCTGGTCAAATAGGTATCCAGTCAAATGGGCACCTATTTAAAGTAATTTCACATTTGGTTAGTCAATTTGGCACCAAATATTTTTTTACCTTTTTTAAAAATTTTATTTGAGATATGGCCATGATGGCATGTACATGATGTATGGGGAGAATAGTTTTTTGCTTGATTAGGTATCAGATTTAAAAAAAATATGGTATTAATTATAATCAATAACCCCCTTGTTGTTTTAACCATTTTCAGGAAGTTTTTGATGTTTAATAAATAAAATAACTTAGATTAAACAGAGAAGCCATCACCCAAGCTATTGTTTAATCCACATATGAGGATAAAAACAAATTTAACAATTCATTGTTATTTAAATTCTTTTTTTCCGCGTTTCCTGTCTACTTATATAAAATGAATAAAGCTGGCACCAATTTTGTATGTTTACTAGCAATGTACAGTTGTCATGAATGGAAGTTCAATGATAATATAAGTTCCAGCATTTACGACATTTTTTATAACAATGTTTCCTTTGGAATTACTGTTATGTGTGACAAATGTATGTTGACACCTCGAATGAAAATATCTTAAAAAAATGGAGAAAAAAAAGGGAGTCTTCAATACTTTACTTTGCAAAACATTATTCTAGTCATGGGTGCCGAAATAACTACCTTTGGTGCCGAATTAACTAGGTCCTGATTTGACAAGGTGCCGAATTGACTATACCTGGTGCCGACTTGACCAGGTGCCGATTTAACCAGGTGCCGAAGTGACTGGAATTCGTAAAGAATGGGCCATCTAAAATTATTTTTGTGGTTCTTTTCTTTATAGTTTTTTAAACTATACCTTTGGTTTTGCACATTTTTCCAAACTCTGCCAGATTTAGGTTTTCCTCGTGTTATGTTTTCTGGGTTTTCACTCTTCTTTTTTAGTTCTGACATGACCAAAAGACAGTCTTTCAATAATATTTAGACGAAGTCAAGCAGAAAACGTGTGATGAAAATGTGTTTCTCAATGTCAAAACGTTTATAACCAGACCGTTAAAATTTTTCGTTTTTAAAAACGTTTAATTGATGTCAATAAATGAATATAAAAATATTCTAAAATAAATACACTACCCCGACCTAAAAATTTACATAGAAATTCTGCATGTCATTATTTTCATGACTTGATCAATATTCCCTAATACTGTAAGTGATTAACTAAAATAGGTTAATAGTTATACGAAATGGCAATTATTTTATAAGTACATTTTGAAAGTAAAACTTTATTTCGATTTGACATAAACGTGACAGAGCGTGACATTCGTGAAAAACATTTCAAGTGAAAATATGCATGTCTTTCTATGTTGTAATGTTACACTACTATTTCAGGTTAGGGTGAAGGTTGGCGCCTGTTTAAGCGTTTAAACCCGCTGCATTTGTTTGCACCTGTCCTTAGTCAGGAACCTGTTGTAGTGGTTGTCGTTTATTGATCAGTGTGGTTCTTTAGTGTTTCTCGTTTCTCGTTTTTACAGAGGATGACCTTCAGGTCATTCCGATGTATTGCTATCGCCTAAATTTCCATTATGTAAATTAGTTTTGGGATTTCAACCGATCTATAAAAATTATAGATCCGCGGTCATTACAAGGGAAAAAAGTGCATTTTTATACCTGCGATTCCGTTTTCCGTTCGTACGATGTTTCATCAAAAAATGGAATCATTTCAGTTGTTGATTTAGTACTGAAAATTTGACTGAATTATCTCCTTTTAAATACGGTTTTATATGTTTAATTGGTGTTTAAGAAAGAGGTCAGGTGCTCATGTTCATTCATAAAATTATCGTTCATTCATCATGAATTTATCGTAAAATCAAAATCACTACACAGGTCACACAGGTTGTATACGTAATGTCAAATGATTACCTGTAATCTAAAAATAAACAAACTTAACTGACTCCCCTTACTATAGTGTGTGATAACATTTTGTGAGGAAATTCGATGTTTGCTATACCACTGTTCATTTCAACGCACTTTATGACGATACCACTTTATCAATATGAATGAAATTTTTTGCAGTGTTTTAAGAAATAATTTTACTTTAAAATCGCGTATCATTTGTGAACTATTAAATGTTTTACAAGGACGAATTTTCTGTATAAAGTCAATAATTGTGTGAACTTTTGAAGCCCAAACTTTTTATAGCCTTAAATACGCTAATGAAAGATCCGAAAACTATACCCATACAGAACGACATGTTTTTGAAATTGTAGCAAAACTTTTGGTTGACAAATTTTAATTCGTTATTGCATAAATATTAACTTGAAATATCTGTCATTTTCTCCCTACCAAGTTCACCCCTATTACTCATTATGATGTGGACTGGACATTGTTATTGAATCTTATGCAATTTGATTGGATTAAGTTATTATTAGATTACCTTCAAACTGTTCATGCTTTTTCGTACGAGTATATCGATTAAATCAGAGCGTGCATGAATGTGTACAGTAAATTAAATGACCTGCAAACTGGACACTGGACCAGTCCATATTACGTTTTATCAATGAATAGATTTTTTTTTGTATTTTCCAAATTACAGGGCCCATAAAGGGCATAAAATCAGATACAATTAATTTACATAATTGGTAACAACAACAATAATAGCGGCATATGAATGAAACTTAAGGTATGAAAGGTAACAATTGCCACTTTTTATCTTTTCACATAATTTTCCACATACACATTAGATAAATTATTTTTGATAGCCTATTGCGGAGAAAAAAGAGAAAGTTTACTGTATTAACGTTCTATTCCATTAAATACGCCATTTTTCGCAGAAAAACATTTTATGCACGGCTACGCCAGGTAAAATTGTTGTTTATCCTAACAAAAAAATACAATTTTCAGTTTCATTAGAATATTATAATAATAATAATAAATCCCAAATTTATGTAGTCATTAGATAAAGTCCTTATATGTCCGATCTGCCTATTTTTGGACATCAAAAGACAATACGATCGTTTTAAGGTCAATTTCGTCTACCTCACACAATCTTGTTAGGCACTATAATGAAATGGACCTGAAATTTATTTCACATGTTTCCTGAAAATTGATAAATATCAAAGCAACATAGAGCTGTTTGTTCTAGTTCGTATAATGACAATTTAATGTCATGTTTGTTTGTGATGACCCCCCTTTTCGGGATTGCATCAGAATTATAGTTATCTCGTATCGCATGAGGATGACACATATCAACTGAGCAATTATGTTTGGGACTTAGTTTTAAGAAATGATGTCAAAGTAACATTATGAAAATATTTTTAGTAAGCTGAAATATAATTTTATATTTATTTTTTACATGTTTATGTCTTGTAAGATATTTTATTTCTTGCCCGTTTTTCATCATTTGCGTCTGGAAAGTTGAAATGTTTTAACTGAATGGTTAATTTAAATTAATTATGAAAATTGTTAAAATAAATCAATAAAGGAAATTATTGCCCAGTTACAAACACTACCAGGGGACAATCCATATTGATTTTTTTTTTAGTTATATGTTTCAGCACATGTATAATTAACCCCAACTTTAGCCTGGTAAACTTGTTGTCTCCTTGTGAAATATAAAACATATTTAAAATGATTTCCTGCTAAAGTCTTTTATTGATATAAAGTTAAAACCGTCTTGCTTCTCACTAGTCAACACTCTTGTCCTGTCAGGTTTAATTCTTATATATATGGATGAAAAATAAAAGCATTAACATGGCAGCAATTGCTTTTACAGCCTTTAAGGCTTTGATTTTTTTTTACAGAAGAGTGTCCACCATGCACTTGCACTGCACTATAATAATAGTAGAATAGAATGATATACAAATAGATGAAAATTATATATACATGCAACCGTAATATTAATATAATATATAACAACAAACCAGTGTATTCTCTGGAACTATATTATTATATTAGTATAATAGTCTAAGGTATACTGATTTGTATCACTACAATATAATAGTTATTACGGTGAGGTTGAATTTCCTGTCATTTATTCATCATCCAAGCAGGAACTTGTATCAGAAAAAAAAATCTCTGTAAATTAACCTCAGTTTCAGGTATAGAGATGTGATCTGTTTCTGTGACATGTGCTTTTGACCATACACAAGAACCTGCGGTCATCCGATGTTCAGTACTTCAGTACTTTGATTTATATAGATTAGACCGTTGGTTTTCCTGTTTGAATTGTTTTACACAAGTCATTTTGGAGCCCTTCATAGCTTGCTGTTCGCAGTGAGCCAAGGCTCTGTGTCGAAGGCCGAACTTTGACCTATAATTGTTTACTTTTTACACATTGTGACTTGGATGGAGACGGTTGTTTCATTGGCACTCATACCACATCTTCTTATTTCTATGAAACATATGTATTGTGTAGACGGAGAAACAACTGCAGAACAAATGATAAGCACATACATACATGACATAAAACCAATACAATCTTTTACAACATACTTATATTTTACATGACTTTCATATAATAAAAATTAAATATTGATGTAGAGTGATACAGGCTATATATATCCACTTTATTTAAACTTTGGTGGATAGTTGTCTCATTGGCAATCATGCCTTATTTTTATATATGATTTGAGAGTTAAATTAAAGCCATATACCGAAAACACATGCTAGGTATTTTCTCGGTTCACTAACTGAAAACGAAATAATCACACAAGGGGTTAATACAGACAGCAAAGACATTTAGTTAGAAAATTAATAAGAAAATCTACATGATATGAAATAATATTTTAAGACCGCAATAATGCGGCGGGGTTAAACTTGTTTTGTGAGATCTCAACCCTCCCCTTATACATGTTATACCGGCATGTATACCTCTAGCAAATGTGGAATAAACAAACATACAGCCATACGCACAGTAAAACTCAGTTTAAAAGAAGTCCGAGTCCAATATTAGAATAGGTAACAGAAGAAACTATCAGCAAAAAAGCAAAATGACAATGATTAACATAAATTATAAACAAAAACTACTAGCAGTTACTGACATGCCAACTCGAAACCTCAATTAAACTGATCGAAATGTTATGTCTTCATATGAAAATTAATTCCTCCCGTTAGGGGTTTAGTATCGTGCCATCATGAATTATACGAGAAGAACATAATCCGTATAATGCCAACATTATAAAAGATGGGATGTGAAATACCTGACTGACAAATATGAGAAAATACGGTTAAATCAAATAAGTAAATCCTTGACTTATTTTTCAATTAATTTTTTTTTTCATGGTACAGAAAAATATTTGGAGTTAAAAGAATTGAAAGATAGGCATGGACTATGCAAGATCAGAATAAGTGCACATCCTAAAATTGAGACGAATAGATATGCAAAAAACAACTTCCATAAATCACAAAGGTTACGTAAAAAATGCACGTTAATGAAGACTATTTTATATGTGAATGTCTCTTTTATAATCTCTTGAGAACAGAGTTCTGTGATAAAATTTTGATACGATGTAAAAATTTCGAAATGTTAAACACGAGTTTCATGTTCAATTGGCTTATTACTCACTTGAAAATTATTGGAATTTATATTAATAAATGTTTTAACTCAGAAAACTATCAATATAGTACAGATATGTTTGTATCACGGTAACCCATTAAAAATATTTATCTGTTAATATTATATATAATCTGTTTTATTGCTGCTTTTTTCACATATATGCTTATGGCTCTGGACTGGCTGTGGCTAAAGTAAGATCTTAGAATTTAGTTGATTATATTCATATTTGTATATGATTGTCAACATTATTTGTGATAACTATAAAAAATCATTGTACCAAATTACTTTGCTCTAGCTTCTTGGGCCCTTTAATTGGGAAAAATATCTTATCTTATCGCATAAGATGTTTACACGTTGATTTATATTTACGATTGATGTCCCTGTACCGATGATAAAATATTGTAAAAGTTTTGACAAGTTTAAAATTGTAATATCTAAAACCCTGGTGTAATAATTTTCAGTAATACAGAGATTTCTTTCGTTAAAATCAATACATGTGTTACATGCACGAGCGAATCGAGCAAGTTGAGATATACAAACACCATACTATGGTGCCAAAGGAACGTCAACATCTAAAACGGATAATTAACGATAGGAAATGAAAAATCATCTCTTTTGTCGTAAATTTTAGTATTAAGCTTCCCGTTATAGATATAGATTATATAAAGATACAGGAAATGACAGTGCACGTGTTCATTGTTGGTATTAGATTTTTGTATCAGATGTTGTTTTGATGGGTCTTTGCTGATTTTAGACAAACATTGTGATTGGTAACAATACAGAAACAAGTTCGCAATAAGTGGTGCACAGTTAGTTCCCATTGGAATTCCAATAACTTGGCGATATATGGAATATCCATAGCGAACAAAAATGTTATCTGATTAAAATCAAAGTACAATTATCATATCAAAGCAGGTCCAATTGACATATTTCTTTTGTTTGTCGTTAACAAAAAATGACCTAAAATATATATATTCACATTCTGACTTTTTAAATGCCTATTTAATTAGGTATGTGAATGTTTTCTTAATGAGATTATTAGGCAAAGTGATATATAAGGTAGAAAAATCAAAACTTTGAACAGATTCGAAAGCACAAATATGACTCGGCATGCAATTTATCAAGTACTTCCAACGAATTTTTGACACCCCACTATTTTCGTAGAGCTTAGTTGAAAAATTTACTACCAGGATTTTGATTGTACCAAGTGAACTATGGTATGGGCTTTGCTCATTGTTGAAGGCCGTACGGTGACCTGTAGTTGTTAATTTCTGTGTCATTTGGTCTCTTGTGGAGATATCTTGAAGACGAAATAAATCTATATGTGTAAGGTGTTTTGTGAAGGCCTACTTGTTCAGTCTTGGAGTGGTTCTGACTGCTGTTGCTCTGCTTAATTGCAGGTAATTTGATACATGTCCATGCGTTTTGTGCTCCATTGCTAGCTTGCATTGTAATTTGAAGTTTACTTCAGTTTAGTATTAAATTACAAAAAAAAAATCAATCATAGATATATATACTTCAGGGACGGATCCAGCCATTTTTAAATGGGGGTTCCCTGGATAAAGGAGGGGTTCCAACCATATGTCCCCATTTAAAAGCAACAATCGTCCAAAAAAAGGGGGTTCCAACACCCGGAACCGCCCCCCCCCCCCCCCTTGGATCCGCCACTGTACTTTATATAATTACTAACTAGACTTAGTTGCAAACTTTTATAAATTATCATCTTTCTTATAGACTGTCTTAATTAGTGCTTCATATGAATGCTGTAAGTGTTAGCTTATTTATATATATATATATATATATATATATATATATATATATATACAAGTCTAAATTGAAAACAACGTTCAAACCTATGATTGCGTTGGATAAAAACCGCAATTTTTATACGTGTGCATGCAAAACAAATTTCTTGGTAGAGGGGTCTAAATACAGAACAAACAACATTTTCCAAAAGACCAAAAAAGTGAAAAAGTATATTTTAACAAAACGCATTTGACTAGTAGGTCAAACAACGGATGTTCTTAAATCCTTCTGACTGCCATGGCGATTGCCAAATAAACGGATCACCAGATGTAACAAAATGGATCTTAATTATTATAATTCAATACCAAACAGAAAACAATAAACTTGCGGAAAAGATGGTATACCGCAAACATGAGGTGCAAAAATTTGTACATCATATCCGGATTTCGACAATTAATGTCTCTTCAGTGATGTTAGGAATCGAAACGGTATTTGGAAGGCCATATAATTTACCTCAATTTAGGATTGACTCTTGAATTTTGATGAGTCGAAATAGGATGAACAGATTATATAAACCCGAAGGCAAATATAATACAAGCCCAAACGAAAAAATATAAACAAGTCTAAATTGAAAACAACGTTCAAACCTATTATTGCGTTGGATAAAAACCGCAATCTTTATATTACGTGTGCATGCAAAACACATTTCTAGGTAGAGTTTCTAAATACAGCACAAACAACATTTTCCAAAAGACCAAAAAAGTGAAAAAGTATATTTTAACAAAACGCATTTGACTAGCAGGTCGAACGACGGATGTTCTTAAACCCTGCTGACTGTCATGGCGATTGCCAAATAAACGGACACCATGCAGATGTAACAAAATGGATCTTAATTATTAATTTAATACCAAAAAGTAAAATCACAAAAATACTGAACTCTGAGGAAAATTCAAAAAGGAAAGTCCCTAATCAAATGGCAAAATCAAAAGCTCAAACACATCAAACGAATGGATAACAACTGTCATATTCCTGACTTTGTACAGACATTTTCTTATCATAGAAAATGGTGGATTGAACCTGGTTTTATGGCTAGCTAAACCTCTCACTTGTATGACAGTCGCACCAAACAGAAAACAATAAACTTGCGGAAAAGATGGTATACATATATATATTTTAAAGTGACTGAGTGTCGTGTTGTTTTATAACTATTTATTTGCATGCTGCTTTCTTTGTTTTATTTGTTAGTGTGTATGTTTTTATAATGGGTAAAAAGCTAATCTGAGCTTTTGTCCAAATGTTTGTCTTAGGCATACTTTCAAGTTACATACTCCCTATTTGCCAACCTCTCCAGATCACCTGAGATCACCTGGGCCGGTTTTTGGTGGGGTTTGGGTTTCTCGTTTTCAGTTAATTTTCTATGTTGTTTTTTTGTAGACTGTTGTTTGCCTTTTATTTTTGTTCTTCTTCATTTGTTAGTCACGGCGTTGTCACTTCTTTCTGCTATGGAATTTACACTAGTATCTCAATCAATACGAGTCCTGGATCCTATAGCTAACCCGTCCTAACCCAATGTACGTAATAACTATGACATGTATGATATCTGTGTCCTTTAAGATATACTATGTTATTTTGCATGCAGTGTTCCTAAAAGAGAGGTGAAAGATAACAAATGATTACTTAAATATGATTAAAAGTGAATTCAACACAAAACCAATTAAAAGGGTGCGAACGGACCCAGGGTGCGAACGTGTGAGGGGCGAACGTGAATGGGATCGAATGGGCGAACGGACCCGGATTCGGGTTTTAGGCAATCCTAAAATATCATCCGGGAACTTGAACAATAAAATGGAAATGTTGGCAAGTTATGACGAAGATTCAGAACCTATGCACAGTTTGGCTGAAAATGACAACGGTGACGACGAACAGGTTCAAAATATTTCAACTTTCAAACTTTCTTTTACAGTAAAAAAACACAGTTATCGGCATTGCAGGCAATCCCCAACCAGGGACTTCCCCAACTCGGCAACTGACCTTTCTTCAATGTTGTTTCAGTTTCTATTCAATTTATATGGAAGAAATTTATTTGCCAGGTGTCGGCATTAATACATTTGATTTGTCATGATAAACTACGAATGACTTGAAATTCAACTTTTATTGTGTATGTCATGCCATTAGTCCTGAAAAAACCGTGTGTTTCTGTGTGCTAACCTATAATATATTTAGTCCAAATTAAATATGACATCTTGTAAAACTTTTCTATTTTTTTTTTTTTTTTTTGCTGTAACATCTTCCTTGAAATCGTAGCCATCTGTACGGCATGAAAATTTCACTGACCGCTAGAAAACGTGGCATTTTTAAAAATTCTTACCTTACAAATAGCGCTTGTAATTTCACGTGTCCTGCCCCAACTTCATTCCCGTTTTGACGCTAAATTATTTGACCTTCACGTGTCACGCTTACAAAAAATCAGTTGGTCACGGGATTACGGACAAAATAGTAAGCGAAACAACTTAAAAATGAGTCTGGTGAAGACGAACCTTAGTGATTATGTACTGGAAAACAACTCTAAGTAACTCTTAAGTATCATGCTTACACCCCAATGAGACCCACTGTCATGTTTGTGCTAAAAATATTTTAAAAAGTTACAATTCCAGCCTATGACGATGACCAAATTTAAATTAAAAAAATTTCCCCAAGATCCTTCACTTCTGAAAGTATAGATTAAATCAAGAAACCAAACTCTATAATAATTTGAGACCAGAATTTCCCAAACATTTGACTTAAATTATCAGGAAATATGTGACAGTCTGTTAAGTTATATTTTGTCCGAGTTGTTGTATGTATATGTATTAGCAATTTTTTGAGCTAGGATTGAAAATCACATTCCTGTACTTAGCATTTAATTAAGCAGGAGGTGAGACCTGGTAAACCTTTCCGAAAGCAGAGATGTTGAAACCTTGTCAGTCTCTCTGAGTTTTTGCCAGACCTACACTTTTTATACATGTATGCTGTATATATTGAAGCATTTCAGTAAGTCATGTACTGGCATGCAATGATGAGGTCTTTCTAAATATTACAATAGAATTGATTAAAATGTTTAAGGCAATAACAAAAATGCTGGAATCCAAGGGAACTGTCTACCGTGCTTTAGGATTTTTTTCTCACTTACTTAAAAGTTCAAAGAAACGTGATGGTAAAAAAATTACTTTGCAACATGAACATTTCACTTTCCAGATTTTATTGAAAATAATTGGAAGGCTAAATCTTTATTAATCTGCCATTTTCAGAACTCAAATTTGGAAGACGAGTACAGTATGTTTGAGAAAATGATTGCTGGGGACCAGTCTAAAACAGAAAACCAATCAGTTACCATGGTAGCAGAGACAGATCACGCAACCAATGAATCAGGCAGCAAAAACAAGGAGGATACAGGTCAGAAAGGTCAATTGTTTTGGTTATTTATACACTAGGTTCCTGGTTCACAATCCTTCACCCTGTACAAAGAAATTATATATATATATAAAGAATAAAAGAAAAATTGCTACACAGCTTTTCATCCTATTGCAGTAAAGCCATGCTTAAACATCTCTAGTAAAATCCTGTTTCATGTTATTATTTTTGTTTGTCCTATTGTAGGCACTGGAAGATGTTCATTAGCAGAAAGTGTGAAAAAGATCATGGAACAAAATTCTGAGGTAATATATATCAGTGGTAAAGATTGAACTTTATAAGATGGGAGGGTCCTTTGTCAGCTGAAGCACTCCGTAATCAAGTGTAGAAGTGACCAGATCATTCTTTACAAACAATTATCATTTTATATGCATCAATTAAATTAAAAGTTATCCAATCACATTAACATGATTAATTAGAAAAGAAATGAAAATTGAAAAAGATGAAAATATTCTTTTCAAGATTCTCTTTTTAACATACAATGACATAATGGCCTTGAAATAGTTTTTCCATTGCAAATTTTGTATTCACTGGTATCTAAAGTTATTACTAAGTTGTCCTTATGCACCAAGAATTATTTAAATGCTTATATTATCCTTACATTAACTAATTTCAGAATTTGAGGTCACTTCTACATTTATTAGATATTGGTTCAAACTTATTGTGAAAACTTTACCTCACTTCAGAAAACTCTTGTTATTAAACACAAAGTTTGGAAGAGAGAGAAAGCTTTGACAATGAATTTCAACTGACTTACATTATAAAAAAGAATTTATGCAAGGTAATTTTACTGAGGCATGTTGAGAGGTAAAAATTGACCAGAGTCAAAATGGTATAGATTGTGAATTGAGTAAAATCTTGTTTTGATTGTAGCTAAGTATGGTGAACCAAACAAACATGGTGTAGACTCAAGTGTGGGGAACCCAACAAAGTACGGTGTAGACTATGTGTTATCAGTTTATATACAAACTATGGTGTAGACTATTTTATTGATATAGATATTATTTGGTCGACTATTCATCTTGTAATTAAGGAAGAAAGTTCAATTTTAGCATCAATATAAAAATATAAATACCAAAAGAATTCTTTTCAAAGAATGCTTTGAGATATTTTACTTCAAGTTTTAGCATTAACAAAATAGAGAAAAAGATTATTTTCTTAAACCATAATTTACAAATGCCTGAGCGAGGAATCAAACATATCTTCTTAGTTCTTAGTAAGTGCTATAAGCTGTCATGTTTTAAACATGGATTTCTTGCTGTCTTGTATTGACTTTCCCTCCCTCACAGAGATACCAGCTTACAGATTGTTAGTAGACTGTGTACTTCCAATTGTAAATGGGAAAGTCTACACCATGTAGTTCAGTTGAACATATGGAAGTCTGCAACATGTAGATCAGTTTTAAGTAGGAAAGTCTACACCATGTAGATCAGTTGTAAGTAGGAAAGTCTACACCATGTAGATCAGTTGTAAGTAGGAAAGTCTACACCATGTAGTTCAGTTGTAGGTAGGAAAGTCATAGATGGAATAATTTGGAGAAAAAAACAGACATCATACATGTACATGTTATAAAACAAGATTTTACAATGTACAGGAGTATAAGTTAAAATATTATTAGAAATTTGTTCGTTTGAAAATCAAATTTCTTAATTTATTTATAACTGTAAAAGCAGCACTTCGAATTGAGTTCTTGATTTTTAAACATGCGAGATGAAGAAATTTTCAAAGTTGAATACATCAAGGGAAAACTTGCAATCATTGTTCGTATGGAAAGGGTTTGTTTTTTCATTAAAAGCCGGGCTAAAAATGATTTCAAGTAGAGTAATATGACCTTTAAATGACTTTCAAGAACTAAACTGTCATGAATGTGTTCATACCTACCTTTTTTTGTTCACAAGAACAAATTTACCAAGCTGTGTTCTACATTGATAAATAAAAAAAAACTATTTTCAATTTATGATGTTCAATATCAAGTAGTCCAGTATTTTTAAGTCGGTGCGACTATTTTGTAATGATTTGCAAAGTGTAATTTCTAAAAGCTGTATTTATTGTACTAGAATGATGATTTTGTTGCCTGGAACAATGTGCTGCTTTTACAGATAAGTCAGGTTTAAATGGGTGTCAAGATATATGTAGTGCTCAGCTGACAAACATACATTGTTCCCATAAACATATTGTCTCCGTGTCTTCATGTCTTCTTCATTAATCTGACCTGATACTTGCCTATACATTAGGTTAAACCAGTTCTGCCATCAAGTTTGAGTGAAGTTATCAGGCGACGTTATGTTGCCTGCAGTGTCGGATCAACGTAAGTACCCAGAAAAACACAGGTAAAGTTGCCCGGTATGGATACTATTGAAGATACTGACAATACAAGCCAGCCATGTGTCCAGAGTTACCAGTTATTCCAGTTTTTCTTCAAATATCGGGCATTTTTCAGTCTAATGTGGTTTGGTCTAATAATTTTGACCAAATATATGTACATGTATCACATTTTATTCTGAATCAATGGATTTGTTTGAAATAAATGTTTTTTTTTTTTTAATTTTGTGATTTTTTTCATCAATTTTTTTTCTTCATATTTGAATAAACAAGTAGAGTTATGGCACCCTGTAAACATATTTCTAATTTCATGCTGATTAGGTGGCACACACGGAGAAATTATTGTCAATGTGTTTCCCCCAAATCCTACTGTTAATCTTATAAAAAAAATGATAAAATTGCTTGCCCATTTCGAAAATCTAACTTTGCAAGCGAAATTTAAAGTCAACTGTTCTATGAAAATGTTGAAATTTGTTTAGCTGATAGAAAAAAGAAAATCAGAATAGGCAATTCTCAATTCTTATTGGTCAATTTACAAAATTTTGTTTACAAACATTACAAATTAATGTACAGAAAATGAAGACATTACATCAAATTAAGTTGGAAAAAATAAGCCAGGTGAGAGATACAGGCTCCTAGAAGAACATTTTCTCATCATTGAATTGTTATGGTGCATGGGACAAGAGAAGGATTTAAATTCAAAATATATTTATTTGCGCCAGCATTATAACAATAACCCGTTAGGAGTTTTCTAAGCATACAATTTTAATGGAGATATTCTGTCATGACCGACATGTTAAAAAAGAACTGAACTGATTGTATTAAATACATCTTGGTTTCTCCGTTTGTATTTTCTGTGTTAACTCATGGCATATGATAAGAGATCTAAATAGGTCACAAAATGTCGTCCATGATCAAAATAATAAATGACAGTTTTTAAATGTGCAACTAATAACGAACGAAAACAATATGTACAAATATGTTATTGGTTGTGTATTAGTGATGTTAAATTGGATGTTAACATATATGTCAGAAAGAGATGTAGTACCGGTAATTTAATGGGAGAAATCTGTTTGTGCCAAAAATGTGTCCTTTTAGCATGTTTAGGCCACAACTCATTTGCGCTATTAGTTTTTGAAATACCTAGTATCATTTGCTCCAAAAAAGTCAAGATTGTGCAAAAAAAATCCTCTTCCTTTATTCGATGTGAACCAAGGCTCCGTGTTGAAGGTTGTACTTTGACCTATAATTGTTTACTTTTACACATTGTGACTTGGATGATACATATTTAAATAACAATTGGTTCAAAAGGACTGCAGCTAATTTAATACTGGTTCATTTTTACATTGGATTATAGTTTATTATACAATGTAGTGTGGCAATATCAACTCCTTTAAAGCTTTACGTCAATCATCAGCTTTTCATAAAGTAAGGTACTTGGTACTTTTACTCTTAGGCTACAACACATCTTATAAGTACCTTCTGAAATGAAGAATTTTAACATTAATTATTCATAGAATAGTACCCCATGGGATAACACGTGAAATCATTTGTAAACTGTCAAGTGGTTTCTTTTGCAGTGTTTAAATTTCGTTATTTTTAGGGGAGTCCTGTATTCGTGAAGTTTCATTTACAAAATTGGCCTGTCTGTGATTTTGATCCTCCAAATTAAATGTATCTACAGGGATATTTTCATGATTTAATTTTAATTTCCAAATAGGTGACTGGTGAAAATATATAAATACTTCATGAATTTGGCCCGTCTGACTTTATAAAATATTGTTGCTTGTTTTAAAACTAAATGAAATTATACACATACTGCTAATGATGGTTGTTTACTGTGAATTAGTTCGAAGACAAAAGCAAAAAGTTTATTATTAACAGGTTGGTGAGGTGAATGAAGATCAAAGGTCAAAGTCAGGGTCATCTGATTCTGGATCATCGAGGGAAAGTTCAAAATCCAGGTCACCATCATCATCACCTGAGCGCAAATCAAAAGAGAGGAAAATATCAACAAACTCAACAGAAAATGAACTGGAGAAACCATCTGAAAAAGAGATGAGGGAAAGTCCTTCAAAAAGGAAAAGGTCTCATTCAAGGTCACCATCACATAAACACAGATCAAGATCCCCATCTCATAAACACAGGTCAGACCACCATCATAAGTCAAGCAGACGGCGATCAAAAAGTAGAGATAAAAGAAAGGTTTGTCATAAATGCCTCAAGGCACAAAAGTCAGGTGTTTCTATTTTTACCCTAGAAAAAGAAGTTAATTCCTAATATCTTTAATACAGCATGTAAATCCTAAATGGTAGAAAGTTTTCAACAAAAATCTTTAGATTAGGAAAATTAACAAATTTCTCCTCAATCCAGAGGTTCATAAATATAAAATCTATTTAAAACATGTAAACCAACAAAATTGAGACATACAATCGTTTAGACTACTACAATCACCTGAGTAATATTTTCCTGACTGGGTTCATACATATATATGAGCTGCATAGGATAGAAATCAACCTTATGCAAGTGCACGTATACATGTACATGAATAAGACTTTGATTGATTTTGGGACATTCACATACGAAATAAAAATGAATTTTGGTCTGTTAAGTAGATTTTCTTAAAACAGTTTAATTTTTGAACAGTAACAGACATTCAAAAGAGATTTTTTCAACCCGAAATAGGTTAACATAAGTATTGATGTTCTTTTAAATAAGGTTGAATTCTATCTGACGCAGCTCATATATAATTCAGAGAAAATAGTTGAACAAGTTTTGGGGCAAACTTCACTCTAACACAATGTACACAACATAAATCATATTTAAACTTATGAATAAAGAAATCTGATTTTCGGAAGAAAGTAATCTGTGTATTAGTTAGTCTCATCAGAACACAAACATCAGCCAATAGAAGTATAGTCTGTAGTCTTCTTATCTTTAACTGTTTAAACTCAGCCAGTAGCAGTATAGTCTGTAGTCTTCTTATCTTTAACTATTTAAACATCAGCCAGTAGAAGTATAGTCTGTAGTCTTCTTATCTTTAACTATTTAAACTCCGCCAGTAGCAGTATAGTCTGTAGTCTTCTTATCTTTAACTATTTAAACTCCGCCAGTAGAAGTATAGTCTGTAGTCTTCTTATCTTTAACTATTTAAACTCCGCCAGTAGAAGTATAGTCTGTAGTCTTCTTATCTTTAACTATTTAAACTCCGCCAGTAGAAGTATAGTCTGTTGTCTTCTTATCTTTAACTGTTTAAACTCCGCCAGTAGAAGTATAGTCTGTAGTCTTCTTATCTTTAACTGTTTAAACTCCGCCAGTAGAAGTATAGTCTGTAGTCTTCTTATCTTTAACTGTTTAAACTCCGCCAGTAGAAGTATAGTCTGTAGTCTTCTTATCTTTCTTATCTTTAACTATTTAAACTCCGCCAGTAGAAGTATAGTCTGTAGTCTTCTTATCTTTAACTATTTAAAAACTCCGCCAGTAGAAGTATAGTCTGTAGTCTTCTTATCTTTAACTGTTTAAACTCCGCCAGTAGAAGTATAGTCTGTAGTCTTCTTATCTTTAACTATTTAAACTCCGCCAGTAGAAGTATAGTCTGTAGTCTTCTTATCTTTATAGTAGAAGTATAGTCTGTAGGCTTCTTATCTTTAACTGTTTCAACTCAGGCAGTAGAAGTATAGTCTGTAGGCTTCTTATCTTTAACTGTTTCAACTCCGGCAGTAGCAGTATAGTCTGTAGGCTTCTTATCTTTAACTGTTTCAACTCCGGCAGTAGCAGTATAGTCTGTAGTCTTCTTATCTTTAACTGTTTAAACTCCGCCAGTAGAAGTATAGTCTGTAGGCTTCTTATCTTTAACTGTTTCAACTCCGGCAGTAGAAGTATAGTCTGTAGGCTTCTTATCTTTAACTGTTTCAACTCCGCCAGTAGCAGTATAGTCTGTAGGCTTCTTATCTTTAACTGTTTCAACTCCGCCAGTAGCAGTATAGTCTGTAGTCTTCTTATCTTTAACTGTTTCAACTCCGCCAGTAGCAGTATAGTCTGTAGTTTCAACTCCGCCAGTAGAAGTATAGTCTGTAGGCTTCTTATCTTTAACTGTTTCAACTCAGCCAGTAGAAGTATAGTCTGTAGGCTTCTTATCTTTAACTCTTTAAATTTGAAACTTTTAAACAACAGTTGCCAGTTCTTCAGATTAGAGTTATTTAAATGAGAAAGACATGTTTTCATGTTTTCCTAAGACTTCTAGTCCAATTGGAATCAGCACTTAGCAATTAATAAATTGACCTTTTTTTTTTCCTACTTGATAGAAAATTTCACATTTATGCTCAACCCATTCAGACCTCTTTTTCCATCTTCAAAATTAAAACATTTTTCCTCTTTTCATTATGCTTGTAAATATTGAATTGATTTTTAATGCGTAATTAAGTGTAGTTATTGAGTTTACATATATTCCCAGATGACCTATTTTTTACTGAATTACATCTTTTTGTAGGAGAAACGTCCTTCAAGATCACATAGGCACAAACGAAGCAGATCCCGAGACCATAAACACAGAAAAAGACATTCTTCACATGACAAGAAGAGGAGTGGCAGCAAAGACCGTCACAGAAAACATAAGAAAAGTCGTAGTCGAAGTCGTGAAAGACACTCACGAAAAAACAAAAGTCCACACAGACGGCATCATAGAAGTCCCGATCGCCATAGAAGTCCCGATCGCCATAGAAGTCCTGATCGGCACAGAAGTCCTGCACACCGTAGAAGTAGAAGTCCTGATAGGAAAGCTAGGAGAAGTCCTACAACTTGTAATAAACCTTTCACTTTCAAGGATCAAATGAGACAACAACTTCTAAAGGCCAGTAAAATATTACAGAATAATGAAGGCATAGATGGAAAAGAACTTGGTGAGTACATATCAGTAGGAGTACTGAAAAAAAAGCTGTTTTTGATGTACCTGCAAAGCGATAGTCGAGGGATATAATGGAAAAGTTAGGTTATGGTACATTTATTCATGGCACAAAATTACTATACATGCACGGGAAAAAAACCATCTGTAATCTTGTCCTTATCTCAAAAACTACTGAACTACTGAAATGGCAAGTTCTTTATCATGTAAAGTTAGAACAAAAGAAACAATTTGCATTTAACACCAAATGACAATCACCAAGTATACAAATATTATTTTTCAGAGTTACCTAAAGAAAAACCAAGCAACCTTCCATTAAATTCCAAAGATGTTTTCTCACAAATATCAGCTGGTTCAGGGGTCACCCCACAGATGGCACTGCTTCAAACAATGGCAACCATGCACCAGAAGGTAAGATATCAGAGTTTTCTACACAGGAGTTGCTGCTGGCAACTAAACATGAGAAAACATGATAAAAGGTTAAAGGGTTAATACAGATTACAATTGATTCAGAAAGTCTAGGTGCGAATTTTGTTAAATTGCTGTTCTTCATTTCCTTCTTTGGGGCCTCGGTGGCCGAGTGGTCTAAGTAGTTACTACTGTAATCACTAGCCAGTCAACACTGAGGTTGTGAGTTCGAACCCCGCTCGTGCAGGTGCACTCGACTCCAATCTTAATTGACTAGGATTGTCAGTTTTCCTATCGAAGGTCTGTGGTTTTCTCCGGGCACTCCGGCTTCCTCCACCAATAAAAACTGGCCGCCACGAAATAGCCCAAAAGCAGTGGCGTTAAAACACCAAAAATCAATCATATCAAATCATTTCCTTCTTCTTGAAATTTCTACAACATTGGGATGGAGCACCCATAACCTACAGCAAAACCATAATCTCTGTTCACTCAAGCACACTTTGTTATTAACTTGTCTAGAGAAAAGACCAGTGTAGTATTTCGGCTTTATTTGATTTGTGTGTGCATTTGTTTGTTGGTGTGTAACTCCACTTCTAGTGCCCTTTGATTGATAATGTCATCAACCCTCCATGTTTTGCAGGAAAATTTGTCACCTTATCAATCAAGGTCTGAGTCAACACTTTACAAGGAAGTAAATTATAACTCACAACCTCAGAGTTGACAGGCTATTGATCACTGTAGACTACTTACTTGACTACTGAGGCCAATTTATTTGAAGTTATGCCTGGGGTCTCAGGTAAACTTTTTAAAAAATCTCTGATACCACCAGAGCAAGTTGACTGCTTTGATAGAAATAGTGCATAAACATAAATGAAAAATCATTATAAAAAAAATTCTGTTGAAAACCCTCTGATTAATCCTTTAATGAATCTTTGGGAAATGATATATTTGTTATCTCCCTTTGATCACCCAAACTACCTGAAACTTTAACTCCACCTTTACAAAAAGACTGTGCAAAATTTTATTGAAAATCATGCGAAGGACCAGTGAAAATAAAACTTTCATTAAAAAAATTTATTGTTGATGTGACATTTCTACAACATTGATGCCCATCTGTTTTCAAACATTGCAGCTATTTCTAAGAATGCAAAACTCAACAAAACATGCCTGCATTTTGTTAAGGCAGTATACTCTTTCAAAAAGTTTTATTAGATGACCCTGACATTAAAAATCATCATTGCAACAATAGCTAAAATATGAATCCAAATATTTAGTGATCTTATAATTTTGTCACGCTCTTGAATATGTTATTCATATTTATGTATTTTGGATGGATATATTTTTTAGGCCCAAGAAATGACTGGTATAGCTGTACCCAAATATTACAACCCAGCAGCAGTAAACCCATTAAAATATGCAGAACAAGTACAGAAACGAAAACTTCTATGGTCCAAAGCCAAAGACCACAAAGAGGTAAGTTAGGCTGTCTCTATTCTTTAAAAATATTCTTGTCCAAAGCTAAACCCCACTGGGAGGTAAGATGGACCCACTATTAACCCACTCGGAGGTAAGATGAGCACACTGGGAGGTAAGATGGACCCACTGGGAGGTAATATAGACCCACTGAAAGATGTTTTCATGTGAACTTATCCAAAGATAAGGATCACAAGAAGATAAGTCCAAAATATAAAATTGTAATTTAAGTAGATTATTTAAAAGAAAATGCCAGGTGGATTGTTTTAATAGGTATGGCGGGAAATTATGTGTGATGAATTTAAGCAACATGTGGTGTGTCAAAATTTATCAGCTGGTTAGAATTGGTTTTAATCAACACAGAGCGAGGAGAACATATTGCGCAAATTTAATGACCTCCTGACTATGACAGTACAATCATCTATATATGTATCTTTCTTTTTCAATGATCTGCAAAAAGATGTATATTCATATCATGTAAAGTCATCAGGCATTGTCAACTTTTTTTGTGATGTCACAATACAAATTCTGAGGAAAACAAGAAAACTGAGAGCAAATGAACAACACCTTGATAATAAAAATAATCAACCTGTCATCGAAAGTATAAATAAACTAAAAATTAACACATTTTTCCACTGAAAATTTGCCCATCTTTTTCAAGGATAACAATCAATCATCCATACTCAGTTTCTCTTATCACCATCCCATTGCACACTAAAATATGGTTTAGAATTATGTACACAAATCTTCCAATCTTTCCTCCCTTGATTTCAATGACTTTTGATTTATATTTTTCAGGACAAAGAAAAAGAATGGAAGACCTCTGCAGCTTTGGCATCGAATTCTGACGACAAAACAAAAGCTAAATTCTGTAAACTAATGGGAATAAAAGGTGAAGGAGGTCAAGAGGAAGAAGGAGAAGACAACTCTGAGAATGTTGAGGAGAAGAAGAAACAACATGATGAACTGTTCTCTAGATTAGATAAAGACTATGAATTTGCTCGAATGACGACTCACACACAGAGGGGAGTGGGACTGGGATTCTCATCGCAACAACAACAACAGTTTCCCATGCAACATCCATGAGCAATTCTTCTCATGTAGACATCAACATCCCTGACACAGTTTGTTATGTGATATTCAATGTAATCCATACATAATCTGTGTAAAGTTTATTATCATTCCTTAATCTGTGTGTTATATCCAGTGTGATAAGCATGTATATGTCCAGTATTCTATTAAGAATGGGCATACTACCTTTAATAACAAGTTGTAGAATTTACAATGTTCTAAATGTATGTTGAGTGATTTCTCGTGTTTATTCAGTATAAGTAACACACCCATGTAGAAATGTATGATATTATTGACAAAGTCAGTGTTATGTACAAGTATAATGAAATCATGTTCTGTGTGTTTTCTGTACATTGAAACAGGTGTAAAACTAATCCTGAATCAACTGGAAATCTGCTTTACGTTACATGGATTTATTTATCACAACTAGATTAAATTGTTTTCTTTTTTCCTAAATTTGTTTATTAATATAAACTAATCCTTTGCTTAACAGGGATTCTGTCTTTACTAGACCCGGGGTATTTAAACTGGGACCTTGTCGTAACTAGTCCCTTACTTAACATGCAGAGGTCCTGTCTAAACTGATCCCTGAAGAAACTTGGACCCTATTCTAAATATATCCCTTAGCAAACTGGGACCCTGTCTACACTGATGAATGGGTAAACTTAGACCCTGTCTAAACAATCCCTGAGCAAACTGGGACCATATTCTAAACATACTCCTGAGCAAAGTGGGACCCTATCTTCACTAATCACTGGGTAAACTGGGACCCTGTTTAAACAATCCCTGAGCAAACTTGAAACTTATCTGGATATAAATATGAAGACCTGTCCAAATTGATAATGAGAAAAGCGTGACCATGCTTTACCAGATTCTTCCGGAATTTACGACCCTGTCAAATCTGAACCCTGAATAATCTAGGAACCTGTCTTAATGAATTCTTTATACAACTGATCATTGAAAAATGTGAAGGCCTTTCTTAACTGAACTCTGATTAACATGGGACCATATCTCACATGGTCCCAGAGTAGTCCCTATTGAACTTATTTTGACAAATTTAGAAAACAGTGTTCAAAATAACATGTTAGATTATTATCTCCAAACCATTGCATCTGTCACATATTTGAAGAATAAGCTTCTTTGACATTTAAAAAACTATATTTTGAAGTGATCCTAAAAAGTAATTAAAGATGAGACAGGTTTTTTCGATGAATAGCAGGGGAGGTACATCATATTTCCGTATGGGCTTCTGATGAACAACATGGGAGGTAATTAAAGTCACTTAAACATAATGAATGACTTTTATAGAAGCAAGGATGCATATTAAATGTGAATTGTATGTGCAGTAAGTTGTATGAGAGAGATGTACACATGTTGTTTTTGGTTGCATGTTATTGAATGAGAGAGAGTAATGGTTAATGATTTTTGTAATGTATGAATGATTTGTTTTTAAAATAAAATAACTGGAAGTGAATAAATGTATTGCATTATTTTCTTTATTCTTTATAAATAATTTGATCCCTCAGTAAAATGGGAACCTAATTGACGTGGACTTTTCAATTACTATAGGTCAAAGGTCAACATTATCTGGGCTTTAAAATAATCTTGAGGTGTATATATCTGCCTGACATGGGTCAGTTGATTTTGACCTTATTTTAATGCCTCACTGATCAACGTTTTGATGATGAGGAGGTTTGTTCAGATACTTAAGAATTAGGATCAACTAAATTGTGATAATATGAACATGTGTATAATTCTTCAACTTTTGTGTTGTTTTGTTGTCTCATTGACATACGTCCCACGGTATTCATTAAGTTTCATATATCAGGGTTGCACTAACCAAATTCACAGTCATGACATTTCATTATTGGAGGTGTTATTTCATTATAAGTGCTGTTTCTTTGTTGAATTCTATTATATGAATCAGGGTTACATGACTAACCTTGATACCTTCACCTCATTTCTATTGATTAATTGTTGTTCGCATAACGTCCAGTGGCATATATTTCATACACACTCAGGACAAGAACAAATTAATATTAAATCCAATATTTAGATTCTGCAATGTAGGTAGACGAGTGAATCAGTGGCGGTTCCAGGGAGGGGTGGGGTTGCAACCCCCCTTTTTTTGACGATCAATGCTTTTGAATGGGGACATATGGTTGGAACCCCACTTTTATACTGGGTTAGAACCCCCCTTTTAAAAATGGCTGGATCCGCCCCTGGTGAATGTTGAGGATTTTGACTACCACTGTAAATTGAGAAATGTGTTTATTGCCTTTTATAAGGTCAACATCATACCCCTCAAAGAGTTATTGTATAGGTTCTTTATTTTGAACAGCATCTGTTGATTCTTAGTAGCATGCTCACCTGGATAGAAGTCATGGGTTCAATGCCCTGCCATGTCAAACCATAGCATTTCAAACTGGTATTTGCCACTATTTGGTGCTTCTCTGCTAAGCACACATTATTAAGGAGTAAGAGCATAGACTGGTTGGCTCAAAATCAGAATTATGTGTCTGTGTAGGGCGACATGTCATCTTGTGGACTGCCTGTTGCATTATGAACTAGCATTTTAACTAATTGATAATTTAATTTGCTGCTGGAAGTTAAACAGTCACCCAACATCTTCATCTGAACCACATGTTAGTTGTTATGACTTTGTGCATCTATTAGTTTGGCCCTGTGAGCTATTACCATCACTTGGTGACTCTCTTCATCCATCGTCTTCACTAGAAAGGCTGGACTAATTTCAACTTAGCACTTCGGTGTTGACATGAATAACAATTATATGGTCATTTTTGTCTCGCCTTGACGGAGTCAGAAAGCGAGACATAGGTATGCTGTTTCCAGCGGCGGCGGCGTCAACAATGTATTAGTTTGTGATTAGGTCTAGTTCATGGTGAACCACTAGTGGTAGGTCAATGATATTTAGTATGCAGTTGTATTAGCATTGGCACATCTCATTACCATGGAGATTATTTGGTCCCGCCCCCTCAGTCAAGGTCTATTGACTTTGAAACTTCTTAGTTTACATGTATTAGTTTGTGATTAGGTCAATTTATGGGGAACCACTAGTGGTAGGTCAATGATATTTGGTATGCAGTTGTATAAGCATTGGCATATCTCATTTCCATGGAGATTATTTGGCTCCGCCCCCTTAGTCATGGTCTATAGACTTTGAAAAATTTGCTAAGTTAACATGTATTAGTTTGTGATTAGGTCAGTTCAAGGGGAACCATTAGTGGTAGGCCAATGTTAATTGGTGTTCAGTTGTATAAGCATTAGCACATCTCATTTCCATGGAGAATATTTGGCCCCGCCCCCTCAGTCATGGTCTATTTACTTTGAAACTTTTGCTTACTTTACATATATTAGTTTGTGATTAGATCAGTTTAAGATGAACTGCTAATGTTAAGTCAATGATATTTGGTATGCAAAATTATTGGCATTTGCAAGTATCGTTTCCATGGAGATTATATAGCCCCACCCCTGATCATGGTTCATTGACTTTGAAACTTTTACATAGTTTACAAGTTAATGTTTGTGTTTAGATTTGTTTAAAGGGAACGACTTATAATAAGTCAATGGTATTTGGTATGCAGTTGTATTAGCATTGGCACATCTCATTCCATGGAGATTGTTTAGCCATGTACCTTCAGTCATGGTTCATCGACTTTGAATATTTGCATAACTTACATGTTAAAGTATTGCTATTTTAATTTCAACATTTGCATTATCAAAATTACAAAAAGGCGAGACATATCTCTGTGATAACAGTTTATTATAAATTTCCTGTTACAAAACTTTTTCGGAAAACTAAGGATTTTCTTATCCCAGGAATAGATTACCTTAGCCGTATTTGGCACAACTTTTTGGAATTTTGAGTCCTCAATGCTCTTCAACTTTGTACTTGTTTGGCTTTATAACTATTTTGATCTGAGCGTCACTGATGAGTCTTATGTAGACGAAACGCGCGTCTGGCGTATTAAATTATAATCCTGGTACCTTTGATAACTAATTAACCTGAATGATCATTTGGGTGTCTAGTATATAGTTTTGCTCGTGCAGATTTTTTGCCTATTAGCTCGAAAACTATAATAGATATATATAAGCTGTAAATAGCAACTATAAAAAAAAGAAAATATCAGCATTACAAGATCTCCAAAAATGCTTAGGTGACCTGAAATAGTGGACGACTCCTTGTATGAGTTCTTGCCTTTATTTGATGGTTTTTGACTAATTTTCGAGGTTTTGCGTCATATCTCAGAATCTTTGATAGATGGGTAGATTATGGCAACGACAAAAACGATCAGCAATACATGATCTAGTTCTATATAGGATTAATTTCCACTTAATTTCCGGTTTATTACATAATTTTCAGTTTTTCTCTATAATCCTGAAAAACTATTATAGATTGGTAGAAACTATTAACATGAATATAATCGAAAACATTAAGTGAAACCTTGTAGGAATTATCCTTAAATAACCATTTTTGACTAATTTTCTAGTATTTATCTGTTGGTCTCACAACCTCTTACATATTTGTAGAAACTGTAAACAGTATATATGTTTAGCAATACCAGTTATGATTTTGCAAGGTGAGCAACCCTCATGGATAGTCAATGTCTTCAAACACCCCCTCTAATTTAGTTAGTTAGGTGAGCAATTCAGACTCTGATATGCGCCTCTTGTTATGCATTAACAATCCAAAATACGGATTCAATTTGATAGTCTTTAAAAGGATAGAGACAAGTACCAAGCTTGGAATACTACTTATTGATACTGAAACTCAAATTCTTTTCCATTTGTTGGAAGGGGGATGTTTCATACCTTGTATATGATTGCTTATGATGTGAATTTTCCGTCTGGCATATTCTATCTTTTTGAAATCTTGTCATTTTTGCGATTATCTTTTGTAAATTATGAGATATATATTCTAAATTTCTTAAATCGACCAAAAAATGCAGTTTTTAACTAAATTTTGGCCAAAGCATTTGTTTGATTGGATATTCCAGAATATTTATAAAAAAAACATTGTTTGTAGAACTTCCAAAAAGAAAGAACAAACACGACGCTGTTTTACAGTGGACTTCAGTACAGTTTTTAATGGCTAAGCACAGCATGAATTAATTGTTCTTAAAACAGTTTGGGATAGATGATCATTGGTATTATACGTCCAGTGACAAATATCACATGCATTCTGACTTTTGGATGTCTTTCCTAAAAATTGCGTGCCTATCGGCGAAGAAGTAGATGCCAAATTTAGATCCATTGATTTGAACCGCCTGGGATCTCACGACCTCCCGCGCTCCAGTTTTAGAATGAAGTTAACATTGATCGCACTGTACCTTGTCAAGTTTTTATTTACAATTGAAAGCAACTTTAACTGCAGAGGGACACAAAAATCATAATCAATTGTTTAATATCATAAATGGATTATTTTTGAAATGTTGTTAGCAGTCATTCCTGTGCAGAATACGGTGAAATTAAAAAGAAAGGGGAGAACAAGTCCTGAAAGCATAATGCACATAACCAAATAACGAAATGTAAATATTGATGTGTGGGTGTTTTTCAAGTTAATTTACTTTGACAAGATAGAACATCATTTTGTTCAAGTGTCAAAAATTACTTTGCTTTTATTTTTTCCATTATGAATAAAACTATGATCAGATTTAATTAATGTCATTTGATAATCTTTTTATTTACTCAAGAAATGTTTACTTTTAAATTGAAAAGCCTTAAAAGTTGACATTTTAATTATCGAATTTTGCAGTCTTATGCAATTTAAGTTAAAATTCTTTACAATTCTTTCATTTCGAGGGATATATAATATAGTACAAATTATTAAAATCTTTTGTCGGCTATATCTATATATATTTACAAGGATACAGGGTACTTTATATGCACTTAAAAAACCTTAAACGTTAGAAACCATTTTTTCCTCTGATTGTTTAAACCGTACTTGATGTTGGCCATAACTTAATCAGTGGTGTAAGAGAAGACTGAAAAGTGTGTGTGTGGGGGGCGGGGAGACGAGCTAGGAGTGAGGAGATTATTGCAAAACTTCTGTAAGTAAAATAAAATTAAAATCCCACTTTTGAAAGTGTGTGTGTGTGTGTGTGGGGGGGGGGGGGGGTTGCATCCTTTGTCCCCTTTCTCATACGCCAGTGCTAATACACAAAAAAGCTAACAGGAAGCAAAAAAACTGGGCAGGATATACAACATACTATACTCGTGACTGTTTGCCTTCGGGATATACTTTAGAAACAATCTTATGAATATACTTTAATATATAGAACATATTAAGAATATTGAGTATTTTTTAAAAGTGTGTGTGTTGAGAGGGGCTTAAGTCAGTCCTATGTTGGACTTTTATCTGGAGGGGGTCCTTTTGTCTATAAACATAAGCTTGGAATATGATGTCAGTCCAACACATCAATATGAAAATCAGAAGATGTGGTATAATTGCCAATGAGACAACTCTCAACCAGAGACCAAATCACATAGAAGTTATCAACTATATGTCACCGTACGGCCTTCAACAATGAACAAAACCCATACCGCATAGTCAGCTTTAAAACACTCCGAAATGACAAACGGAAAACCATTCAAACAAGAAAACTAACGATCTGAAATGTGAAAAACAACAAATAACAATGCGAAATACAAACATGAAGCGGGATTTTCTCTCTGTGTTGAAGACCCATTGGTGGCCTTGTGCTGTTTTATGCTCTATGGTCGGGTTGTTGTCTCTTTGACGCATTCCCCGTTTCCATTCTCAATTTTATGATATATAAATCAAACCATAATACATAACACAAAGTGGCCAATGACAAGCTTATTTTTAGTAATTTTGACTTCAAAATTGTATATACCTTCAAAAGAAATATACTATTGGAAAAGGAATTCTTTTTTCCTAGCTACGTGTTAACTCGGGTGGAATACATTCTTGTTTTTCACTGGCATTAATTTATTGTTCAAGCTTTAAAGATTAGTCGAAGAAGAATTCTTTGGTGACTGCTGTGTTAATATTCAGTAACACTAGATAACGCTGTGATCAGAATATAGAATCAATAGGAAACGAGATATATTTGTTAAAATCATAAAAGATGTCAGAAAGAAATCCAAGTGTGATAGGATTTACGTTCGAATGTACTGTATAATTCGATATTTTTGAAAGACTAATTTGAAAAGATATAATTGTTATTCATTTCAATAGATTCATTCCATCAAAACTAACATAAAAAGGACACCACTATAAGGAAGACTACATTAACTTTATTGATAAACATACATTTATCTTACTTATCATACAAACTTAATTCGACCAAGTGAAATAGGGAGAAAATGTTATCAGAAATTTATTCATTTTTGTTGAACGGTTGATTGGGTAGAATTTAAACTTTGACGGAACATCACGTCGATATTTGATAATGGGACACGTTTTAAAGTGGTAATTTAATGCTAGGTATTGCTAAGTAAAGGGGGTATAAAACTGAAATAATATTGTATTTTAAGTGTTTGACGGAAATTTACTACATAATTGTATGGAGTAGTTTATTTTCGTTATATAGTTGTAAATTTGAGGTCAATTTTAAACAGATTCGGATCGGAATTTTATTTACTAATAAATTAAACGCTCATATTAAACAGGTAAGAACATATATACATTTACTTTATTTTTTATTTGATTTAGTATAAATTAGTATTTGAATGAAATATTCAGAAGCCGTCAACATGTCGCCTCCGATTTGCAATTTGAATTCCTCAAATGGGCGTTTATATTGTGCATTTTGGAAAAGTACAACAAAATAAATACAAAAAAAAAACAAAAACAAACAAAAAAACGCAAAAGATACGTAAGTGGATACATTTGTCTTTTTTTTGTTTTCAGGGATATATAAACACCCCGCCACGTCCGATCTGTGTGTGTTTTTTTTTTAGATGTTTTTTTGCTTTGTATCGTTCTGATGAGTAAAGCCATTTCCAACTGATTTTTAAAGTTTGTTTTTAAGTTGTACTGTTACACCCAGGTTAGGGGAGGGTTGGCGCCATCAAACATGCTTAACACAGCCACATTCTTTATGTGCCTGTCCCAAGCCAGGAGCCTGTAATTCAGTGGTTGTCTTTGGTTCATGTCTAACAAATTTGTTTTTCGTAAATTGTTTGTTATAAATTAGGCCGTTAGTATTCTCAATTGAATTGTTTCAAATTTTTTCATGTCAGGGCCTTTTATAGCTGACTATACGGTATGGGTTTTTCTCATTGTTGAACGCGTACGGTTGCCTATAATTGCTTACATCCACTGCATTTGAACTTTGGTGGATAGTTGTCTCATTGGGAATCATACCACATATTCTTATTTTTATATGAATATATAAGATAGTTAAGTAAACTGTTATTGAAGTAGACTTCTGGATATAAATACGGGTGTCGTACATGAAACATGATATACTTGGCCCTCTGTAACACCTGTTATCACTCAGTCTTAGAGTGAGTTAATATCGGCTAACTTACCCCTATCAGCCACAGTACTATAGTGATATAACATCGACCAACTTACCCCTATCACCCACAGTACTATAGTGATATAACATCGACCAACTTACCCCTATCACCCACAGTACTATAGTGATATAACATCGACCAACTTACCCCTATCAGCCACAGTACTATAGTGATATAACATCGATCAACTTACCCCTATCAGCCACAGTACTATAGTGATATAACATCGACCAACTTACCCCTATCAGCCACAGTACTATAGTGATATAACATCGATCAACTTACCCCTATCAGCCACAGTACTATAGTGATATAACATCGATCAACTTACCCCTATCAGCCACAGTACTATAGTGATATAACATCGACCAACTTACCCCTATCAGCCACAGTACTATAGTGATATAACATCGGCCAGTTTATCCTATCACCCACAGTACTATAGTGATATAACATCGACCAACTTACCCCTATCACCCACAGTACTATAGTGATATAATATCGGCCAACTTACCCCTATCACCCACAGTACTATAATGATATAATATCGGCCAACTTACCCCTATCACCCACAGTACTATAGTGATATAATATCGGCCAACTTACCCCTATCACCCACAGTACTATAGTGATATAACATCGGCCAGTTTATCCTATCACCCACAGTACTATAGTGATATAACATCGACCAACTTACCCCTATCACCCACAGTGCTATAGTGATATAACATCGACCAACTTACCCCTATCACCCACAGTACTATAGTGATATAACATCGACCAACTTACCCCTATCAGCCACAGTACTATAGTGATATAACATCGATCAACTTACCCCTATCACCCACAGTACTATAGTGATATAATATCGGCCAACTTACCCCTATCACCCACAGTACTATAGTGATATAACATCGGCCAGTTTATCCTATCACCCACAGTACTATAGTGATATAACATCGACCAACTTACCCCTATCACCCACAGTACTATAGTGATATAACATCGGCCAGTTTATCCTATCACCAACAGTACTATAGTGATATAACATCGACCAACTTACCCCTATCACCCACAGTACTATAGTGATATAATATCGGCCAACTTACCCCTATCACCCACAGTACTATAGTGATATAACATCGACCAACTTACCCCTATCACCCACAGTACTATAGTGATATAACATCGGCCAGTTTATCCTATCGGAACTCATATGATATCACTCACAGTTTCAGCATGAGTATTCTAACATGATCATTCAGCTTACACTGTCGGAACATATCATATCGCTAACTGTTTTCGCGGAAACTTAACATCACCGTGCCAATCGAAACAAATGGCATCGCTCACTCTCTTAATGGGAGATCGATTCGCAAAATTTAACCTCCTGAAACACATAATATTCGTCTGCTGAAACTTATTATATCACTCAGGTCTCAGTGGGAGTTTCATTTAGGATTTTTATTTTTGATGTCAGCTGTAAAAATACACATATTTCAAAAAGAAAATTCAAACGACAATTCGTATTACTAGCTAAGATTTGATTTGGAAAAATTCTTTCAAACATTATTAGACAGTTTGGAGATTTGTGTATGACGTGAGGAGCCCTCACGGATAGAATGATCAAGTAATTTGCTTGCCTTTATACGATACATTTGAAATATTTTATCATATTCGTCAGCCCTCGCATCTTTTTATTCAGTTATCATGAAACGTATTGACATGACGCACAAAATATTTAAAAAAAAACCAAAACAACAACAACAACACACACACATGCACAAAGAATGGAACTATTTCCCTCCTGTGTAATTTCACAGTCGTTGAGAAGCCCTTTCAAATTATATAAAAGGAAATGTGTTTTGACTGTCATGCAATCACTCCATAATTCACCGAAAACCAAACGACGTGAAGATAAACGAAACATTAACACCCTCAGAATAGACGTACCAACAATGTCAAAGAACAACAACACATGGTCCAAATATAGCAAAACTTCTAGAACAGGTCTTATATTTCCAACTTGAAAGTTGGAAATTTCAAAATATATCTAAAGCAGGAAATTAAACACAGACACAAAATGTGATGGGATTAAACCAATTTTACGTCGCACAAACGATTGCTTATCTAGACCATATGTCATAGAATAATATCACCTTGAGTTCTCTAATACGGGAGCGAGCGAGATGTCTCTACCATACATCGAACTGTAAATGTGCAGATATTGTCAACAATAGACAAATACAGTTGAACAGGTTACTGTCAAAATTATGAGCAATTAAATGCTTTACAATTCGTTTAAACTGTTACTAATTTTGGTTTTAAAAGTCCTCGAGGTATTGACAAGATTTTCATTTATAAATCGAAAACCTTCAACCTTTTCCTGGTATAAAACTTTAAGTACAGATGATAGAAATAGATTGTTATTTAAAACTGTAATTTGATATTAAATATCAGCCAGAAATTATACGAGTACTTTCAACGGTCGAGATGGTTGTTTTTAATCAAAGTAATGGCGTACTGTTACGATATTGACGGATAACAAATTGAAACACGAATGCCCAGGTGATACTATACAGGTTAATTTCCGAGGCAAACATATCAATAGGCTACGTTCGCTGAATTTCTGTTCGGACTATCATTGTATAAAACGTCTTAAAGTCAGGAGCCTGTAATTCAGTGGTTGTCGTTTGTTGCTGTGTAACATATTTGTTTTTCGTTCATTATTTTGTACATAAATTAGGCCGTTAGTTTTCTCGTTTGAATTGTTTTACATTTGTCATTTGTCATTTCGGGGCCTTTTATAGCTGACTATGTGGTAACGGCTTTGCTCATTGTTGAAGACCGTACGGTGACCTATAGTTGTTAATTTCTGTGTCATTTGGTCTCTTGTGGAGAGTTGTCTCATTAGCAATCATACCACATCTTCTTATTTTTATATTTACAGGGCATAACGAGCATAATTGGCAACTTTTTCTCTTAGGGTTGCATGACGCCTCTTCTCTACTCATTAGGTTATATTACTATTAGTGCTATGTCTTTCGTTTACAGCCAAACATGTTGTAAAATAGAGGAATACCAGAGAAAATACTAAGTGGGCATTCGAAAATTATAAGTCCAATCAAAGCAGATAATACAAAGTATTACACATCTTTAGTCCTCATTTTATAATCTGCACATATCAACTTGAGGGAATTCTTCGGTGGGAGGAGAGTTTTTTTTCTAACGGAATATTGATTTTCACCTTTTACAAGACTCGCTTATTTACTAGTATATTGTTTTTTTGCTGCTCGAAAGTTTATTTTCTATTTGTACACAACTATTTCCTGCAAATGGCTGCATTTAATGTTGCAGAATATTCATTTTTATCCTGTCTTGGTCAAGATTATTCATTTTCAGTACTTAACAGGCCAGATTATTCCTTTTCAAAACCCTTCTACCCCACACACAACGATAGAATTGGTCGTCCCTTATCATATCGAACCCTGTAAAATCACAAGGTCCATCCCTTATATATTTAAATATAAGTTCGAGTCCTGGACATAGTATGAGTCACTAAGCAAAAAGGAAAGACCGACTCCCTGCCCCCCCCCCCCCCCCCCCCCCCCCCCCCGCCCCCTCTCTGTTTTTCATCCACAAATAGAGTGTTTATATTAAAGTGATAAAAACTAAAGATTTAAACAATCGTAGTAGATATACAAAATCTATAAATCTATCTTTAAACTGCCATTCCTTCACAGGAAATTACTATTGGGTCTTATTTCGAATTTCAAACCCATTAAAAAGATGGAAAAATTTCAACAGTGTGAAATTATCATATTTTGCCGTGCTGCAACGAATTGAATTTAAATATTTTAAAGAATTTGAAATGGGTGAGATTATTTAACGATCAATCACGTCGTACGTAGGGAAGTACTGGTCTAAGTAAACTCTTCAGAATGAAATTTAATAACTTTAATCGTTGTTTTATTTAAAAATCATTTCGTGGTGATGGTTTAAACTTTACTCTGATTGGAAACATGTTGAAACTGAGATTAAGATATTTGATAACTTATCTTATCATTATGTTGCTCACGAAAGTGTTAAATGAAGATCAATAGATGTTTTGTGTAATGAAATGTCATTTCATTTTGTAAACACTTATGAAAAATTGAAATATTATTCCTATAAGTCGAGAAACATGTTATAAATTTGTAACAAATGAATTTATATTCTGTTTAAAGTATTCTAAAAGTTCTAAAATCTGATGTGATTTACATCTGATATTAAATATTTCTATACAAACACATAAAATTGATCAAACCAGATCTGGGTTAAACAACAACGAGAAATTTATGAATGGTCCGCAAATTATAGAACGGTGTAATTACATAACTTATATATAAAAGAAATATATAAATCTTGGTGATGTGGGTATACGAGAATTTTTCGATACGCAATTCTTTTGAGGAGAGGGGTGTATTTTGGTTCTAAATAAACGAAAAACATGGAAACAAACAAACAAACAAAACCGCAAAAACAACATCAAACAAAGACCTGGATCCAGAAGTTAACGTATGGTCTTCAATAATTGATATAAATGTGTGTTGTTCTCTTTGTGTGTTTTTTTTTTGGTAATTAGCATCGTTGGGTTATGTCGCGTTGAGTTATACCATACATATTTTTTATTCACAATATGTCATAGTTTAATCTACCCTATTCAGTAAGCTCTAAATAAAGCATAACCAGTAGACTAAAGCTGATTCGTCATATTTTAGTTTTTTCAAGAACACCTTCTTCCGATATTTAATTTTAAAGATTTAAAGATTTTGCTTCTAATTTAAATTAACAAGATCTAACTACCATTATTATACAGAGAACATTGTCACAACTGTTATTTTCGAAGGAGCACGAATTAAGGACCGAATGTTAATCATATATCCATTTTACCTCAATTTTACTCAAAAGTGATATACTACACACATTTACCGCAAGGAACCTTTGATTATGTTTAATTTCTTTTTACTCGCTAAGTCTCGGACTGACAATAATGCTGCGTTTACACGTAAATCGAATTCGATTCGCATTAACTAATTCGAATTAGTTTAATTTGCATTTGAAACGTTTTACGTCCGAACGTAAATTTTAATACGAATTGCAATGCGCGTCAAATTCGCTTTACTGTCCAAACGACGTTAACTTTTAATTCGCATTATCAATTAATTAATTATAATCTAATTCGAATTACAATTTAAAAAGTGTCCACACAACAGTCTAATTCGAATTAAAACGAATTAACTAATTCGCATTAACGAAAACGCATTTCTAATGCGAATTGGATAATGCGAATTAGCCAATTCGAATTCGATTCGAATTAAAACAAGATGAGTGTGTGAATGCGATTAGCGAATTCGATTCGCATTCGATTCGAATTTAATTGAATTAATGCCTCGTTCACACGTACATTTATGCTGCGTTCACATGTAATTCGAATTCGATTCGATCGCATTAACTAATTCGAATTAGTTTAATTCGCATTCGAATCGTTTTACGTCCAAACGTTAATTCTAATTCGAATTGCAATACGCGTCAAATCTGCTTTACTGTCCGAACGACGTTAACGTTTAATTCGTATCAACAAAAACGGATTTCTAATGCGAATTGGTTAATGCGAATTAGCCAATTCGAATCAATTCGAATTAAAAAGGAAGAGCGTGTGAACGCGATTAGCGAATTCGAATCGAATTCGATTCGAATTCAATTCGAATTAAATGTACGTGTGAACTAGGCATTAATTCGAATTGAATTCGAATCGAATGCGAATCGAATTCGCTAATCGCGTTCACACTCTCTTCTTTTTTTAATTCGAATTGATTCGAACTGGCTAAATCGCATTATCCAATTCGCATTAGAAATGCGTTTTTGTTAATACGAATTAAAAGTTCACGTCTTTCGGACAGTAAAGCGAATTTGACGCGCATTGCACTTCGAATTAGAATTTACGTTTGGACGTAAAACGTTTCGAATGCGAATTAAACTAATTCGAATTAGTTAATGCGAATCGAATTCGAATTACGTGTGAACGCAGCATTAATGTACGTGTGAACGAGGCATAATATGCAAAAACAAATACAATGGTAATCTTTGTCAATTTTCAGGTTGCTACAAGCCCATAGTAAAATGTTGAAAATACGACATTGTACAATATGTTACAACCGAAAATTTATTATCCATACTCGAGCCTCCTCATGGGGTTTTTGATTATGTGATTACATGACCGATTTGGTTAGTGATTATTTGATAACCAGACCAAATATTTCATGATTATTTGATTATTTGATAATCTAGGACTGTATTTTTTATTTTTTTATTATCTTGTTTAAAAAATAGTTAATGATTATGTGATTAAATTGGCCATAATTTGTGATTATGTGATTACGTGGACACCTCTATGAGGGGCCTCATACAAGTATTTGAATTGTAGGTATGGCGAATGAGAAGTTAACGATGCAAGCTTTGATCGAACATGATCGAGTACAACCCAAATTAAAAGCCACGGGAACATCAAACTCGTCCACAGTCATTAAAGAGGTAAAGACAGGTGATAGATAAACAATAGGTGTAGATAATATGTTAAATTTATTACTGTTAACTCTTTATATGACTTGAACTACAAATAAATTTAGTGTATTAAAATGTCTTTGTATATCATGTTTAGACGGTTCACTATTGGGGTAAGTATATCTTGTTGTTACTGTTACACACTTTCAACCGTCGTTATAGTTTTGAATTTGCTCTCAAGACAAGCTAGACAATACAAGACGAGACAAGAATATTTATTGGTTAAAATCTTAATACTAGCTTTTCTATCTGAATTTGTGTTTTTTACAGATAGGAAAATGTTTACGCGTAAAATGTATTCATGTCTGTCTCATGTTTCGTTTTTTTTTTGCCATGGTATTCAACACACGATCGACTTGTTTTTGACTAATGACATTTGATTGTCTCTTTATTTTTCCCCCTTTTTTATCACAAAATAGACAGAGATTCGATTTCTTCAAGGAACTTTGCCATGAATTTTAGAGTTCGTATTGAGATTTCTTTAACATTGCCATCAATAATTCCTTGTTTTAAAACATAAACAAAAGTTAATCTCAGATTGCGAAAGATAGAAGGAACACATATAATAAGGGAAAATAAGTTGAAAAACTGAAGACAATTCAATAAAAAATCTGAAACACAAAATAACTTAAAAAAGAAAAAAAAAGAAAAAAACTTATTGAAAAAACCCAGTCAATTTTAATTCTCTTTCTTTTTCTTCCTCTGAATCTATAATTAAAATTACTTGATAAATACCAGGATTTTTAGAATATGTTTCTTCATCTACGTGGACGACCATTTGATTTTCAGGGGGGGGGGGGGTTAAAATGATTATTTATTTGTAATTTTTAAGCTTATTATACCTTTATATATGCAACAAACATTAGAATATACGTTTTTCTTTTTTTTTTAAGAACGCCTCAATCAAAAGTGGCGATGCTGTTCCAAAGAGAAGAAGACATCCGTCATCAAGTGATACAAAATCTCAGAAATCAGTTTCCATGGCACCGCCAAAGACGGGTATAAATTTCTTTCGAATAGTTGCAGCAACCAAAGCATGGCAAAGACTAGCAAAACAGAGAGCAGCTAAAAGGTCTCCGAAACTAACACCGAAGTGCGAAAATACGTATAGACTAGAACCGGCGGAAGGGAAACACTTCTCTCCGCAGAAAGTAGAACTCGTCATGAAAAACGTGATTGAAAACCATCCAGGACTAGATCAGTATAACCATATCCGAAGTAAACTCTTAGTAAGAGATTTATCGGAGAAGATAAACGAGAAAGTGAAAGAACTAGATTTCCCGAGGTATAAACTCGTGTGTAATGTTATTATCATGGAGAAAAAAGATCAGGGAGTTAATGTATCTAGCAGATGTATATGGAACCAACAAACAGACAATTTCGCATCTTACACTTACAAGAATGGTGCAGCGATAGTTGTGGCATATGTTCATGGTGTATATCTGGAATAATTGACGTATATCTGTAACACCATGTTATTAGTATTTATATTTGCTAAAAGATGCAAAAGGGATAGGCCATAAGATAATCACAATTTGAAGTCTTCTCCCAACACCATGATATGTTAATGATGTAAACTGCTCTGTTTCAAAATAACGAGCCTTTTAAAAGACTGTTTGAATTTATATAAGTAACGGAACTAAAAAAAGCAGAAAAAAGTAGGTATCCATGTACTTGTTTTCGAGATAAAAGCCATCTGAAGTTTGGCAGGTAATGATTCTCTCTGAATTTTTCATAAATTTACCAATGGCATCTTTTTCCTTCCAAAACTATGAAAAAATAACAAGGATTTTATAAGATTTTCAAATATGACTTTTTTTTATTGTGTATGTAATGAAGTTATGAACAGAAAAGTAGTGAATATCTAAAAAAAAAATCAGAAAAAAAGAGTAGCGAAACCTTTAAACCACAGGATTATCACTAGATTGATCAGGATATTTTAATATCTGGACGTATAATGGTATGGTAGTGTCTGAGAATACCGTAGAAAAATTCCGGCAGTCATTTTGTTATGAGATTTTTGGTTACTTACGGTTTCCAAGGCTTAAACATGGAAATAAAGTGACCGACAAACACAATTATTTATTTTTAAATCGAATGTATGGTTTTCAATCATTACGGAATTTTTTGGAGGTTTACCATGTTTACATTGAAGTCCGCTAGTTAACAAGCGGACCTAGGTCAGTTATCCAGCAATATATTTTTGTAACTTACCGTTTTCGCAGATTAATGAGGATAAAAAATGGGCTACATTCATTATTTTGAATTTGAAATTTTTCCTTTAATTTCTTTTATAAAGTTTCTTCGAATAAATGCACCATTCTCAATTTTATCATTAACAACACAAAGTTGTAAAAATGACTTGATTTATCAAAATTAAACAGCTATTTGTGCAAAAATTAACCATGTTTTTTTTAAAATCAATCATGATATCATATTTTAGAGTAAATATTTATAAGTATTTGTTTAAAAGGAAGTATAACCTACACGTCTGTGAAAATAATATTTGCATTTATGTAATTATGTCTACTCTGTTGATAATGAAGTTGTACTCAGTTGTCCTTGAAGGACAAATATATACATGATATAATCTATGGTTTTTATGTAATAAACAGTAAATAATACTGACCATCACTAGGTGTTGGAGTCTATTTCTCCGTGACAACATAACTTATGGTATTGTAACCACAATATATGTTTTTTAAATGTCTCTCTGTTGACATGCTGCGTATGACGGCACAGGGTAGCAATTAAATGATTGATGATTGTCGATTGCTTAACGTACAGTGGAAAATATTCGAAATTTCAGGACGAAAAAAAGTAAACAATTAGTACAAAAGGTAGGTTTGGCAAATTAAGTCCATCATGATGAAAGGCAAGAGAATTCTGGTCAACTGCCACTGGAACATGAAGGTACATTGGATTGGGCAGACATGTTTCTTTGAAACAAGCTATGTATATACGAACCGATCAAAGAGGTGTTACAAGAGCTAGGTCTTTACAGCACATTGACTTGAGTGTGTAGGTAAAGGAAGTATCTTTGAACAGTCTCTTGTATTAATTTTTTTTAACGGTAGAATCATCAAACTTGGCTATAATGTACCTCTGGGGATAAGTAAAATAATCGGTATAGCTCGCCTGGTTCGGCAACTGGAATGAAAACAGTGACAAAATCCTGTAGGATATTATTTTCTCCCATAGGATTTTAAGAAATCCTATAGGATAAAGTCATAATCCCGTAGGAAATTTTTAATTGCCTATCGGATATTTAAATGGATTTTTTTATCCTATAGAAGAATTTATCTCCTACGGGATAAAATTAATATCCTACAGGATTTAAAATCCTCTAGGATTTTCACAAATAATGTTAAATCCTATGGGATTTTTTTTTTAACCTATATGATTATCATGAAAGACTTTTTCTGAGAAACAAATGTCCCTTAGGATTATTTTTTGCTCCTAAGGGATTTATTTTGTCCTGTGGGATATATTTTCTCCCATAGGATATTTTTTCTCCTACAGGATTTTTTCTCTCCCTTAGGATACATTTTGTCCTGTGGGATTTATTTGTCTCCCTTAGGATAAATTTTGTCCTATAGAATTTTTTTCACTCCCTTAGGATAAACTTTGGATACGTCCTCTATGTTGCACTTTGTAAATACAGCTGTTTCACAAACCACGCCTCTTTTGGGGAGATATATAATATTCATAGATATTTTGTTTTGTTTACGTACTGGTTCCCAGATATAATATCTATGTTTCATTTCATAGAGACATAACTTGGGAATGTTACCAGTATAAATACATATGGATAGCGGCGAAATTGAATTCTGAGGATGTCCAAAAGTAAAGGCAGGGCCGGATAGTACAGAATTTTAGTATAAGTTTAAACTCTTAAAAAATATGCCGCACAGCCCTATATCTTGACCTTTGAAAAAAAAATGTAGCACATATGAACTTTCCATTCTAGGATATAATTTTTCACGAAACTTCAAAAGTGGCACAGTTTTCGTAAAAGGAGTTCCTATGGAAAATTGCATTGTCTATATTTACAGAAGTGCAACCTCTAAGTACGGTTTTGTCAGTTTTGTTGGTATTTTACAAAATATATTTATGGCTTCGCTTGTCCCAGTGTTTCTATATTTGATTGAAAATAATGCATCATGCACTTTAAACATTCACAATACTGTTATGCTTGCCAATATAGTTTGTGCGGTCCAGAATATGGATCATCAAACATCAATAGGAATGATATTAATTAAGACAATAAACATTGTTTTATTTGAAAATATGATGATGTGGTATGATTGCCAATGCAACAACTCTCCACAATAGACCAAATGACACAGAAATTAACAACCTCTAGGTCACCGTACAGCCTAAAAAGACTAAAAAAAGGGTAAAATGAAATTCCCTAAGTTTGCAATTTGTCATCATAACACAGTAGGTGTGTTTGAAATTTCAAAGTATTAGATAAAGGCCGAATTATATGCAAATCTATTCTTTTTTTAATTAATGCCTCGATCTACCCCTTGAGACACAAAATCTGACACCCCAAGCGACACATTATATTTTGATGAAAAAATAGTTTTAAAACCAATAAATTTTAACGAAGAAGCTGGCATTTGGTTAAATTCCATGATAGGAATTCATTTCTATATAAATCATACGGGAAGAAATCGTCAAAAGTAGTTTTTTTACCTTGAAACTTGCATATGAAGCCTCAAAATCTGCAACACGGAAAACTAGGGAGAGGTGTTTGAGAAAACAGAGCACTGAAAGCGTTTGCTTCTGCTTGCTGGAAAAAGATTATGGTTCGGTTCCTTTCGTGCAATACATTATTTGGTACTAACAATTCTCAAAAAAGAAATTTTTATACTTGAACTTACCTTGATCGTTTTTCTTCGGTTCAAAACCGCCACCCCATGTCAAACATAGCCGACACCCCGCAGGTGGCGTTCTCCACGGTGATGTCTTAGTTCTGACTGACATACTCATATATGATAGATCGTAATAAAAACTATAAATATTCAAATTTGTCAATTATAATACAGCTTCTTATTTGTATACTAATCATGTCAAAATAAGAAAATAAAACGAGAAGTAAATTATTATTTTAATGACGATATTAAAGTCGCGTACATATACGAAAGGAGATGTGATAGATATGTCAGAGAGACAGCAACTCAACCACACAAATAACCAAAAAATCGTCAACAATAGACTGTCTACAAGATATGTCAAACTGAAAATAGTTTCGATGGTTTTGCGGTTGTAAAATTTTATTAGGACTTATTTTTCAAATGATAATAAAAAAAAAAAACATTATCATCCGAGCGTTCATTGAGTGGAATACAGAATTTATCAATCAATACGTAACGTTTGACTTACAAATCGGTTCAACATAACAAAAGGCGAACTGTTAGCTCTTGTGTGCATCCTTTCATAAGGATCATTTTGACTTAAAAAGGTATTTATTATTTGTTTTGCCTGAACATTTGAAATTTCTTTCATCTTGATTTCATAGTGTGGATAAATTCACAAATGTGGAGTAAATTCGGAACGCATTACATTAGTTAAATAATAATTTTTGGGGACGCTGTGGTCAAAAGTTAAAAATCTGCACGAACATATACGTCCTTCTTCATATTTATATCATATCGAATACTAGTATTCTCTCATAAATAAGTCATATAAAAGTTGCCACTGGACGTTGTTTACAACCGATTAAAAATTCATCCGTCTCATCCTAAGTTTTGTTATACTGTGTAAATGAAAAACTTCGTTTAAGATCATTTAACAATTGCATATTTACACTGCAGTAAAGAGGCCGAAATAATGGGAAATAATTGTACACGTTATTCAGTCAGTCATACTCATACGCCACGAATACCTATCTTTTCCTCATCTGCCAGTGAATAAATTATTTTTATTAATCTTTTTTAAAATAATTTTAAATCAAATGATCATTTTATAAATAAAATTCTTACATTTTATGACTAAAATGGATGCTTTCTGTAATTTAAACATATTCTTGTTATG